GGGCTGGCTCACCACGAGCCCGGTCTGTGATGGGCTGGCTCGTTTGACCCGTTTTTTTCTGGGCTCAATTATTCTCAGCCCAACTCAGAAGAATATGGGTTGGCTCGCGAGCCAACCCGCGGGCCAGAACCCATTTTACACCCCTACTGTATAGTTTGACTCAAACTATACCGTATTCGATATAAGAATTATTCAGAATATAAAATATTTAATACGAGCGACGACATTTGAACAATATAGATTTTTTTAGTATAACCTTAGAAATTTACGTGTAAGACGATGGCCTTCATTGTTTATCAAAAAATAAATAAATTATGAAGGATCGTCACAAAATATTTCTAAGAGAATTATAAAAAAAAATCCATTACCGTTGAAAAATGCAATTTAAATTTTCTGGGAAACTGTATTGAGAGAGTGGCGAAAACTTGACTTAGCGAAAGATCTATGAATTTTCTAATTTCTAGAATATCTTCTAGATTGTCTCCGAATTTTTAAATGAAAGAAATTTATCGGGACATGATGATTTATTACAGAAATATGATGCCATATTTATTATAGATAATATCTAGTAGATGACATTTTATTTATAAGTAAATTCTATATGTTTAAATATGTTGATAATATAAACGAAAAAAAATATCGAGCGAATCTTGTGATGATGTAATAAGAGTCTTGTTTCGATTCATCAAGCTGTGGTTTAATATTGTATTAAGACAAAATCATTTCCTAATAAATCCACAAACATTCTGGGCAGCCAATCAAAGCTTTGGTCGGACTACAAAATGGCAGTCAAGAGTTCTGTTGAATTCAAACAGCTGTTACTTTGAATGCTTCTTTTTTTTTCGGACGTTAATTGAGTTCCAAAGTATCGGGGTTTGACGGATTCAGTCCCGTGAACGTGAACGTGAACGCGCTACCGAGTTCCGACCATTTGAAGCTGAGTTTTCGTTCATGAATTTGTTATGGGAGAAGACGAAATATTTAGGGATGACCATTTCCATTTGATTCGATTGGCTCGTACCAAATACTTCCCAATCAAATTTGATATGAAAATCGAATTGATTCTAAATCTATATTTTTAACCAAATAAAAAAAAATAAACCGAGAAAACTAAAAGTTTATATAAAAAATAAATGTTTTAAAAAAAACTCAGAACAGAATGGACTGGTCTTTCATATATTTGGAGCACAAATGTTGTAGTTCTCCGAATTTTTAATGTTAATATATCATAAAAAATCAATATTTAAATTTATTTCCATTTCTCCGTCGTCTATGACGACACAAGAATAAAAAATAATGGGGTACGCGAATAAAATGCGAAAGTATTGCGATTATAATGTTTTAATAACATGCTATTGAATTCACGAGTTTGTTATATAAAAAAAAAAAGCAAAAAACAAAAAAGACAGAAAAAAAAATTGGATGGAGTCAGAGCTTCTAGGGCCAGGTTGAGTCATAACCCAATCGATACTCCATAACCAAAGTCAATACCATTTTCGATTTCATAAGGAAAGAGTCAACGTGCTTTTGTATGTATGTATTTATATTTTTTTTCGAAGAGGGTCGGTCCATTTAATTGTATGTACTGAATCAATGGAGTCGTAGGTCAACCTTCTTAATGAAGAAGTACTGATTACTGAAGCAGCATTTAATTTAATTTCATTTAATTAGGTGGTCCTCAACCTTATTACGTGAAACTCAAAAATAAAATCGACGCTGTTCGGTGTGATTACGTTTAAGCTCGATTATTTCGGTTTTAAAAATTATCAGTATTCGGTTTTATATAATAAATTTTGTTATATTCGTATTTGATTTATCTTGACAAAAAATTATTTTTAAATTTGAATTTTTTTTTATATTGGATTTCGACGTGGTTCAAGCTTGATTTGTTTCTATGTTGGAATTAATTTTTATATCGGATTTATTTATAGTTATATATGTATTTAATTCGTATGTCCGAATTGGCCCAGTTTGGGCCGTTTCTGCGTGAAATGGGCCTCGGGGCCACTCCTAGGTTTGGTCCACCATTAACTTTAGGATTCTCTGTGGGGAAAAAAACTATTTTTTTTATGCATTCATAGTACTTGGTTTTGAATTTTGAAAATATCAAAAATTAAAATTGTATTAAAGTTGCAAAACCGGATAAGAATCGAACCAACAAAATAAAATAAAATAAAAGGCAAAGGACAGAAAAAGTGAAAAAGAAACGAAAAGAAAAGATAAAAAGTTTGAAGTTTGAACTATTCTTTTTTTTTATTTATTTAAATATATTGTGGCAAATTGTACATGCTGGCGGCGAATGGATAAAGCAGAAAAAAATTATATGAATATGACAGCGTAGAAGATTCGGTGCGTTTTATAAGAAATATATATGTATATATAGCAACTAAATCAATTTAAGATTATATATTTTAATTTATGAATTTCTCATGTAAATATCGAATCCCATATAATGTTTAGTTTATGTATATTAACAGTTTCATACAAAACTATAAAATATTGAAAATAACAAATATATTTTTCAAATAAGGCGTGGAATCATTTTGCTAATCTGTACAATAATATCAAATAGTTGTTTGATATTAATTATAATCTATTACTTTTGATATATTAAATCAGAATTTTTATTAAAATATACTATTAAAAAGTATTCTAAAAAATAATAACAATTACATTTAATCAGAATCAAATTTAATTCCGTTTTGATTTTGATAAATGCAATTTAAATATAAAATGCCCATTTTAGGGTTTACATTGAAAAACAAAACAAAAAATCTTTTTTTTTTTTGGTAAGTTCTTTGTCAATATCTAATAATCCTAGTTACTATAATCTTTTCATAGATAAGCATTGTTGTCATATAACTGGCAGGGGTTTCACACTCTTTTTTATTTTTTATTTATCATAGGTTTAGATATAATAACATAATATATATATTTACAAAGATATACCGTATAATAGGTACAAATTGATATATTATAAATATAAGATATTAGCCGAAATTATGGAGCGATAGATCAGTATTTTCAGGCAGACGTGTCGAGTTCAACCCCAAGAACCCATCGACGTGACAATCACATCATTTGGTTATACAAAATAAGGACCATTGTAAGTTATAATAATAATAATTATAACAGTAATAATCATAATAACAATAATAATAATAATATAAAATCGTCGTAAACAACTCCATTATCATCATGATTTTTCCTCTTCTTCTATCCTTTCGTTGACTATTATCTCTCCAAATCTATAGAATCGTTCGTGGTGGTTAAATTCTAAAATTACGTTGTTAACCATTAGCAATGTGGAAATAATTATATTATTTTGTTTATAAATATTGAAACGATGAGCTTATTTTTGGTAAAAAAAAAATTACCTTACCAATCGTTCATCTATTTTTTAGACCAACTAATATATAATTTTTTTTTTAATTTTATATACCATTTAATTAATCTAGTTTTAAATAGATTAAGGTAGTCACATATAGTTTGCCCACAACTCCAAACCAACTTCTTTGATTAGCGCACATAATTAGTGATGAATTAGACTAAACCAAGATTTTTATTTTAATTTATTTCTCCCTATATGCTAATTAATACAATGAGGTAATTTTAGTATAAAAAAATTAAACCAATTAAAAAATGTTAGGTTTACAAATTTATTGAATCGTGGAGATACGGAGGAACATTGCCAGAATTAGCAGTTTTCACTCGACATGGCAGTATAACGTTGTCGGTTAATATTATTTTTATATAATACTAAATATATACATATGTAATAATTTTTCTGGTGACATCCGGGAACTATATAATTATTAGTTGTGGACCAGAAGACATAATTAATCCCATAATAAATAATTTAACCACATTGTCCAAATAATGACGTTGAATAGGAATGATACATGGATTACTGAAATTATATATATATATATATCGCCTAAAGGCTAAAACCTATTGTATTAGGAATATGTAATTTAAGTTAAATTCGAACATAATCCAAATAAAAAAAAATACTAAAATATGAATTTTAAAATCTATTTTATCGCAAGATGAATTTAAATTTTTTTATATATTAATTTTTGAACTATACATTATCATACATTAAAAACTGTAATGTGCCATAAACAATGTTGAAGAGCAAAGGGACAGGAGAGTAAATTCAGTATAATGCAGTAATTAATAGATGAGGACGACAAGAAAATTCATAACTATTAATCATGTAATTGTAATTATAAAATTATAAAATATTGTACTAACAATTTTTTTTAATTGTTAACAATATATTATCGTTAATTACTTGTTTACTGCAGTTAATAATAGTTTACGATGAAATACAAACATGATTACTTTCTAGAAACATGTTAATAGGATAAAGTAAAGAAACACACAGATAATCATGTATATATATACAAAATATTCAAAGCATCATTCGTCTTTATTCTTAATTTCAAATCAGTTAATTTTAAAATTAATACGAAAATAAAATATTTTGCCGATTTTTCTGGGAAATTTTCTGAGGAAGAAAATGGCGCGTCACTGTTCCTCTCTCTCAATCTAACGGCAATTGTTACAGTTCACAAGTAATCTCTCCCTCAAGCTTTCTCTCTCTACCAATAAAAGCATCTCTCTCTCTCTCTCTCTCTCTCTCTCCCCCCGTGAGACGCGCTCTCTCTCTCTCTCGTCAAAATTTCTCCACTTTTTCATGATTTCATCTGCTCCATCTCCCTAGGGTTTTGATTTCGATTCTTCCCAACAGACCCACAACGAAATCATCATCGCCATCCTCTTCATTGTCACCGTTTCTTCCTTTTCTCACTTTCTCCCTTTTTTGTCTACCATGACCACGACCTCCGTGAAGAACAATGGATTGCCTGCGGGTCTCGTCTCGAATCTCCAGGAAGTGCTCTTGAAGAGACGAGGAGGCAACGGGGAAGGTGGAGAAGCCGATGGATCAGCTGCGGAGACTTTGTCTATCTCCGACGCTGCCGAGACGCCTCCCGTTGCGGCGACGGCCGAGGAGGAGATCGGTGACTCGAAACCCATTGTCTTAGTCACCAACGGCGATGGGATTGATTCCCCTGGCCTCGTCTCTCTCGTCGAGGCTCTGGTTCGGGAAGGGCTTTACAGTGTCCATGTTTGCGCTCCTCAAACGTGCGATTTCTCTTTCTTATTTATCGGGATTTCTATCTGGGTTGTTTACATCCCTTCAATTTTCGCATGGATTCGGCTAAATTTGATGTCTTGATTGGTTCAGTCACATGTTTATGCCTCGTTTTGGTACATTTGTTTTGTCGAAATTCAGAAATTTTTGGTGACAGAAGGCCCTGTGGAATGGAATTTGCAGGGACAAATCAGCTTCTGGTCATTCCATGACTCCAGGAGAAACCATTGCTGTGAGTTCTGCACATATTGAAGGTGCCACAGCCTTTGAAGTTTCAGGTATGCTCATATATGATGGTTATTGCAAAATTTCTGATATGTAGTTGTTGGGACAGGCTTAACGTAAAAGTTGGAGTCTTTTTTCTAGTTCTGGGAAAACTCTGCGCATGCTTCATGTTTTTGTCGTCAGCTTCATGCCTTAATTCAGGAAATTATAAATGTGACTTGGCACATTGGTGATTAGATGTCTTCCCTTCCGGCACAAATGTGAAAACGTTGCGAGGATTTGTGGTATGTTTTTTTATGAGTTGCCTTCGATAGTAATGACTTGGAAATCATTATTGTGGCTCAGGGACTCCTGTGGACTGCATCTCTTTAGCATTATCTGGAGCGCTCTTCTCCTGGTCAAATCCAATACTGGTTAGCATTTGTGTTATCTCAAAATTAGATTGATCAGGACTCTTGTATGTCTTTTCTTGCAACTTTGTTTATGTTTGTTTTTCCAGGTGATTAGTGGAATTAATCGGGGATCAAGCTGCGGGCATAACATGTAAGCATTTCATGTCGCACTGGCATCATTTGGCTCCTCAATGTTGTTTAGTTGATGGGTCTGCCTTTTCGGATATTGTCTGAAGACGTATCTGGTTATTTCTGTCTTAGCTTCTCAAGTTGATCCTATCAGTTTGCAGTCTATTTCTTTTTTCTGATCTGAGAATCCTTCAGGTTCTATTCAGGTGTAGTTGCTGGAGCTAGGGAGGCTTTGATTTCTGGTGTACCCTCTATCTCAATATCGTTGAATTGGTGAGCATATTGTGAGAATGATATTTTGCTTCATCATTACATATTTGTAATTCTTGGCCTTAATTTTTTTTTAATTATAGGAAGAAAGATGAAAGCCAAGAAAGTGACTTTAAGGATGCTGTCGGTGTCTGTTTACCGCTGATCAATGCAACTATCAGAGACATCAAGAAGGGGATTTTCCCCAAAGACTGCTCTCTGAACATAGAGATTCCAACATCTCCCGCAACAAACAAGGTATGTGTTCTAGCAAGAATACTTGTGAGAAGAAAAGTATCCTGAGTTTTGTGGCTTGCTTCTGATAGATAGTTCTAGCTGTCAACATAGCTGTGAGAAATAAAATATGCCAATGTAGACTTGGGTATATCAATATGCAGATAAGGTTGCCATTTACTGTCTTTTTCTTGCTCTTATGTTGAAATTGAAGTGAGACCTTCAACTTTTGTCTTCTGTGGAAGTTGAAATAGTTCAAGATTTGATACCACTTCAGTGCAGTATGATGGTCTTGTATTTGCTAGTTTTATTGTTGTTTTCTCTGTTTGACAGACAATTACTTCCTGGGTTTTCCCTGTCAACTTATACCTTCACATCAAAACTCCTTGGCCTTAGGTTGAACTAGATGCTGTTAGGTTGGTCATGTTCGCAGTACGAGTCTGTGTGCTTCATCTTATGGTTGGACTGTTTGAAAACATGATGTGGTGTCTAGTCTTCTCTGATATCTAATTTCATGCCCTTTTATGTCAACACTGGTTGTGACCCTAAAAGTTTTGTTGTCCAGTTGTCTTCGTCTTTTCTAGCCTAAACATGGTTTTGGCAGATTAGCCTTGTCATTTTTGTTCACACTTTCTTTTATTATATTCAAAGTAATATGCCGCACTAATTCTGTAGCTCCATTGCAAGTATCTAAAGGTTTATCATTGATCTGAGACTTGAAATTCATTCTAGTATGTATCTGAAGATCCCCTGCCTATGGAACAATGGAAAGTGTTAGGTAGGCTTCAGTGAGAGGAAAAGAAGAACAGAGAACAATGTTCAACAGTACAAGGCTTTCTAATTTGCATAGGTCGCCTATTAGGAGATCATTATGCTGCCTTGCCGAGTTGAGTTTCTTTCCATGCATATTTGAGCAGGGTTTTAAAGTAACGAAACAAAGCATGTGGAGGCGCAATCCGACTTGGCAAGCTGTTTCAGCACATCGCCACCCGGGTGCTGGGAATTTCATGTCCAACCAACAAAGCTTAGGACTTCAACTCGCCCAGCTTAGCAGAGATGCTTCTGCCGCTGTAAGTTAATTCAGATGGTTTCTGCCTCACATTTGTGGGGTTTATAATAAGTTGTTACTTTGCAGAATGTGTATGATTAGCAAATTAGAAATTAAGATTAAGTTGTCTGGCTATATCAGGGGGCGGCTCGTCGTTTGGCCACACAGAGGAAGAGTATTGTGGAGGTTGAATCAGTTGGGGTTGCCGGGAAGGGTGATAACCGTGTGAAAAAGTACTTCCGACTCGAGGTAAAAAAGAAAACTTTTTAGCTGATTTTGTCGGCCGTTCAAGGTTCTGTCTAAGTTCATTTATTCTGGTATTGGAGTCTCCAATATGACGATAATTAAGATTTTCTCATGGTTTATGATAATCTTGTACATTTATTCATGCAGTTTCTGGCTAAGGAACAAGAAGATATGGAGGATGATTTGGATTTGAAGGCACTTGAAGATGGATTTGTAAGTTGGCATCAGCAGTAGAATATCTCCTTCATGTCGTCATTGTTTAAAATAACCTCTACAGCATACAGAACTCGGTCTCCATCTTTTTCTTTCCCCTAATGAGTCTTAAGTAGTTCATTCCCCGAACTACTCTAATTCTCAACCCCTTTTGGTGTGACAGGTTTCGGTAACTCCGCTATCTCTTCTTCCACAAAAGGAATCAGAAATTCAAGCAGTGACATCAGAATGGATCTCAAATGTGCTCAACGCTGATCAATGAGAAAGGCCGGAGCTTAAATTATCGCCGTGCCAAAAACAGGTCAAATCTAGCCTTGGAAAGTTTGGTTTTTTTAATCGGTTTTCAGTGAATGTTCGGTTTATTTATGCTTTGTTTGTTCTTCTTCCCAAATCTGTGTGTGGGATATTAATATTAGTTTGTTGTTTTGTTGGTTTGTTCTTGTTGTTGTTGTGGTGGTGAGTCTGTGTATGTAAAACTGGGGAAAATGGCTCAGGGTCCAAATTTTAGTACCCCAGCCGTTCTTCCTTCGTTCCATATTATCTTTCCGTAGGCAACGCCCCTTCACAAACCTCTTCTTGCGTGGTTGAGGCTTTTGATTTTAACATTTGTGGTTTGTGTTGTTGCATTTGTTCATCAATAGAAGCTTTCTGATAGTGATCTCTCTGTCTCTCCCTCTCCCTCTCCCTCTCCCTCTCTCTCTCTTCTCTCACTTCAAGCATCAAATGACAAAACCCATAGTCAGTATAACCAAGACTGAGGTTTGAGAAGCTTTTGGGCAAACCTTACATTGGCCCAGTTTTCATTATCATATTATTTAAAGTCGAGAACAATCATTGGGGTTCTCTCGCAAGTGATCATGTAATGTAGTGTTTTATTTGTGCAAATGAGGGATATAGTGTGTGAACATACAAAATGTCACGGCAAGAATGAAGACATTTTTACAGTCCGGACATCCCATCAGACATGAAACACAGATTGCGATTGAGGCCAAATCTTGTCAGCAATTTTGCAGGTGATCAAATAGAGATTAAATGACAGTCCTGAAGAATAAACAGATCAAACATCCTTGCGAAACCATTTACAAGCTTAACGGAGAAGAATACTGAAACAAAAATACCAAAAAATAAAAATAAAAATAAAAATGAAAGGAAAATGGATCTTACATATTTCATTCCAAGACGATGGATGGATGACCAGATACAGCCACAGACATTCTCAAAGCCCCAAATGGTATCCGAAGTTTCAGGAAAATCCCCAAACCCGATCAAATAAAACCAGACCTGAAAGTTCTCTACAGCTAACCTCATGAAGCCTTGTGTGCCCCGAATTCTTCCACGCGTTTCCATGTGGCTTCACGTCTTGCTTCTGTTTCAGCTTCTTTGGATTCGTCTTCCTCGAACTTGGCAAGGCATTCCTTGAATAAATCAGGGTCGAGATCGTGGAACATCTTCCTTACGTTCTGCGTCAAGCTACGGACGGCCTGATTCCAATGATTCCTAGCGTTTCTCTCCAGCGCTGGTAACAGAATCGGGAGAATGACCTTCCGGTTTTGCATTATCAGATTCTCAATGTGATCGTTGTTCCATAAGAACAAGGCTCTTTCTGCAACCTGCAAAACCATACACATGCAAATAAGGTGTCAGTTATTAAGCCTACATTACCCAACTTGGTTCGTATGATATCAGCAAAAAATAACATGTCAACAACCTACACATACACATAGTCACCTTTATAAATATGTATATAGCTACTACTTGGTCTTAAGGATTAGCCCATCAGGAAGGGCAGGTTGGTACATAAAGCGTCTCCATTGGGCGGGGTCTAGGGAAGGGTTCCACCACAAGGGTGTATTGCAGGCAAACCTTACCTTGTAGAAATATTCTGCAAGAGGCCGCTTCGAGGACTCGAACCCGTGATCTCTAGGTTACAACGGCAACACCTTAACCGGTGAACCAAGATAAAAGCATTCTTAATGTTCATCAAACCAAATAACGTAAGCTACATGCGGAAAATAGTAAAGATACGGTAATTCAAGACGAGCAACGTGTTCCCCAGAATCTCCTCTGTATTCTGAACCCAGATGCTCAAATGCAAATGGTAGCCGCAGAAATTTAAGGGAAAAATTTCGCCATTTTCGTCACCTGTTAGCCTATAGATACTGGCATTATCCTATCATGTATTGATTTAGCTAACAAAAAAATCCAAGAACCAGAGTTTTGCTATGGGAAGTCTATATCAAGCATCATCCAGAACTGACTACAAGAAAGAATCTACATTTTCCTATGCAGCACAGTAATTCTGGCATTATCCTATCCAGTTGTACCATCTAAACACACCCCTAACCAAGATTAAGCTTCCCCTGATATACACTTAGTTTCCTAGTCAGATTAGGCTATGAGGATTTTCCAAGAACCAAGTGATCAATATTATCCACAGGCTATGAGCATTGATAAACAGACGACAAAAAAAAAATTGTGCAGTAAGAAGGAAATGTAAATTTGGAACGTCAAAGCCTAGGCAATGACACAAATTTGGAAAGCTTTGATTTCAAGAAGGAAAGAGAGTAACTTTTACCTGGAAGTGCAAACTGTTCAAACAGCGAGCTATTTGGCGAAACAGTGGTACCATGCACCTTTGAAAGTCGGGCGGCTGAGTTGCTTCTAATACTTCCTCCAACTCATTCAGGAACATGACTTCCTTGGAACTATTCGTCACTGGCCAATATTTCAACAATCCCCTTATAACCGTGTCAGCAAGTTTGCAATCCTTTTCCACAAACTGTGTAATACAATAAGACAACTGCTGATGGTACGTTGCCAAGCATTTCGGTTTGTGGAGAGGTATTAAGGCACGGACAAGAAACAGTTTGTGCTCTTCCTTCAACGGTAGAGCAAAGCCGTTGATGATGCTTCCCAGAATTTCAAGAAATTCAGCAATCCCATTATGTTTCTCAGTCTCGAAGATTAACCGGTAGAAGATGTTGTTTATCGATTTCCTGATGAATGAGCGATGAACCATGAACTTTCCGTAGATACGATGGAGAATGGTTTTCAGGCAATCTCTTTCCCTTGGATCCTCTGAGTCGAATAAATCCAACAACAACAGGATAAAAATTGATCTACATATCTCTTGGCCAACTTAGTGTCTGAGATAACAAATCTTAAGAAAAGCTCATACACAAGTTGCAAATGAGGCCATGCAGGATCCATGGAGGGCTCTTCCTCCTCCAAATCAAGTCCATCGATAACTTTGTTTTCACGAGGCTAAGGATTTAGGGTTCTGAATATGTTAGCGGAAACCATTTTAATGACCTCTTGGATAACATTTTCACTGAACTTCCCACTGTCAGAAGTCACATAATCCACCAGCTCCAACAATGTCTGCTTCTTAATCTCCTTTTCCTTGATACTCTTTGTTGGGTCAGTAAAATCAAACACTACAGAGCACAAGTACAACTTTCTTATGAATAAGCTCTGCTTTTCAGCATTTGGAACATCTTTAAAACTCGGCATGGCTTCATAAGGGGTGAAAGCACTGTTCGAACTGGCCTTTATGTTCCTATCTTTTCCCTTGGATCTTCCGAATCGAAAAGATCCAGCAACCGAAGAATAAAAGATTGATCCACATATCTCTTGGCCAACTTAATATCTGTTTCTGGCGAGGTAATGAACCTCAAGAAAACCTCATACACAAGATGCAAGTGAGGCCATGCAGGATCCATGGAAGGCTCTTCCTCCTCCAGATCAAGGGCGTCGATAACTTTGTTTTCACGTGGTTGAGGATTTAGGGTTCTGAATACGTTGGCAGAGATCATTTTAACAACTTCCTGGGTAACATTTTCGCTGAACTTCCCGTTGGCAGAAGTCACATAGTCCACCAGCTCCAGCAAAGTCTGCTTCTTGATATCCTTTTCCTTGATGTTCTTTGTCGGGTCGGTGAAATCGAACACTACACAGCACAACTGAACCTTTCTTATGAACAAGCTCTGCTTTTCTGCATTCGGAACATCTTTGAAACTCGGCAATGCTTCATACGGGGTGAAAACACTATTTGCAATGGCCTTTAGATTCCCGTCTTTAAACCTGGTATCGGGATCAGATTTGACGGCCGGAGTGTTCTTTGTATGTGAATTGACTGATCTCCCAGTGCCCTGATAGGCGCTTTTCGAAGTAGAGGCAGTGGTTTGGGGTGAAGAATGACCATGACGATCATTTTTGGAATGTTTTTTGGGAAGCTTGCTTAGAATCTGTTTCCACATAGTTCATAAATAACCCGAAACACCCTCAAAACAAGGATTCAGATTCTCAAATCATCTCCTACAATTCCTAGAGCATTGAAAAACCATGGAAATTCTAATATTCATCATCATACCAGATCAAGTCAAATCACGAACCTGAAAATCGAGACAAATCCCTAACTTTGCCCAATTAGAACAGCAAATCACTTTGGTCTTCCTCGTTCATGCCCCTCGGTTCGAAACCCAGAGAAGCTAACGCCTCTCCGACAAAACCCCGATGAACAAAATTCGAACTTTCGGCGATTTCCAATTCTGAGAAATCATACAAAGTGGAGAGCAAAGACAAACAATCATGAAACGAAGACCACCTCGCACATTAATCGCCCCAAAACATGAAACCGGAAACAAAACGAGAATCGCCGAGGAAACAAAGGGAATCGCTCGTCGTCGGAGAAAGGAAAACAATAATCGCCCGGAGGAAATGAAGGTCAACAAGAGAGAAAGAAGCCCAGATGAGGAAGAGGATGACAATGGTGATGATGATAAACGATGTACTCAAGGAAATACATTCAAGCGCTTCAGACCTCGTTGTTGTTTGTTGACTAAGATATTTTCCCCCCCGTGCCCGTACTGACGAGAGAACAGAAAAAAAAACTCACACATTCAGATTAATCTTTGTTCGTCCATAGGGATAAAAAATTAGCCTCGAACATTATTCCATTAGGGTTTGAATCGCCAATTTGAGATTCATGGTATATGGGTAACCAAAAATTATTACAACATACTACTATAGAATTTTTTTTTTACCGTGAAACATTTTTCTACCGTGGCATACATATACATATTATAAACATTGGAGAAGATGACTTGAGAGTGAGAAGATGAAGATTTGAATTGATAAACATGGCTAAATTCTGTGAAATAAGCAAAAGTAAAACGTACAGACCTTGGGATCATCCTTAAACCATGACAACATGAATGCGTTTACGTAAAAGTGAATACATTTTAATGTCCATTAATGCGTCGTCGGGCGATGAAGTTGTCCAAACTGGTTGGCATACAGAATTACATAGTAGAACCAAGTGTTTGAGGCCGAAATCAAGCGGTGGATACGAATCAAAGCTAACGTATCACTTTCTTAAAGTAAAACCGGTGTACGTTAATTAATTTCATTCATCTGGGTTTACCGGATGTTGTCCAAGTGTAGTGACCCATCTGTCAATATCTTGATGTTGTTTAATTTGCTGCGAGTTCGTCCAACGCTCTTTCCCATTCATCTTCTCCTCTGCCACGCAAATACGAGCCGAGCATTTTAAGGGCCAAAGGGACGCGGCCGGAAAGCTGGACCGCACGGATTGAGAGCCATCCCGAATGAAGTGAAGGACCATCTTCTTTCGGATTGAAAGCGGATTGACAAAAGACTTGAAAAGCTTCGTTGAATCTTAAACACTCTACTTCGTAGAGAAGGTTTACCCCGCAGGCAAGTAGCAAACCCTTGTCCTGCGTGGTTACGATGACTCTACTCCCCGGACCAAACCCATTGATATCCTTCACGGCATCCTTCAACTGCTCGGTTTCATCAACACTGTCCAGAACCAGCAGGATTTTCCGGTGACCGAGCCTTGCCTTTGTCATCACATCAGAGCCTCTCTCAAGAGTTTTTGACATGAACTCTTCCACTAAACGATGAGATGAACCGCTTTCTTTATGCATCTTGTCGACATTTTTCATGAAAAAATGATCTTGAAACCGATCTGAGATCTTGTCATAAACGTATCTTGCAAGAGTCGTTTTGCCAACTCCTCCTACTCCCCAGATGCCAATTATGCGAATATCTGTGTTACCAGATCCAAGAGCCAACAGTTGATTCATCGCTTCAAAGTGACGTTCCATCCCCACGAGGGTATGAATGACGCTTGATTCTGTGGCACTTGCGGTTTCTGTATTTTTTAATTGAGAATAAATTCGAGAGGTAATAGCGTCGACCAACGCTGAATCATCCCCCCTCCTATCACCAAAAGAAATGTGAGATCGGAGAAATGACATATCATTAATCTAAAACACCTAGCAATTTACAAATCTTGCCCAAACCGGCTAGATCAATCGGTAGGTATAGTGATCTTAACAAAAAAAAAAAGATCAAGGTCTAATAGTTTTTATTTCGAGTTTTTGATTTTAATTTGCCGTTTTTGAATTTTGAATTTTGGTTTTTGATTTTTGTAAATCCAAGAAAATAGACTTTGAATGATAAGAGTTTTCCAGATTTTGAAATGTAACAACTAAAATAAAATCCAATTGAGATTTTGTATATTTGTTTTCCCGGAAAACCAAAAATTCAAGTAAAAATCATAAATCCATTATGTTTTATTCTCATGTTTTAAAAAACTATAAAAATAAAAAAAAAATTCAAAACAAAAACTGTCACTATTCATAACACGGGATTTTTTAGTTTTTAGTTGATTTTTTTTATTAAACTGATTTTTCCAAATTTTCTAAAAATTTTACAAAAACTTGATTACATTATTTTTGTTTAGGGATGTTAAAACCCCCAAAATCCTCTTCCATTCAAGACCTAAATATTTATTCTGACTCGTTTTCTTTTGTTATTTGTATGATTTTCTTTAAGTTATCAGGATATCTTATTCCTATTTTGATTCAAGTCTCAATTATCCACCCATATTTTTTTCGAAATCCCATAATTTCCAAATTAAAACATATTTAGATATGTTTATTTAAAATAAATAACCGCGTAATCTACCAAAATTATTTAAAATAAATCACAAACACACACACATGTATATATATATATAATATTTGTGTGGCAATAGTAAAATTGTTCACTTGCAAAAGATTTATACAGGTTAAAAAGAAGAGAGAAAAAGACTCACCAAAATCCAAAAGGACCACCGAATTGGAGTTCGGAGATTCTTTTGAGAGCTTCATCCCAATTGGGAACCTTCTCCACCATTTCTGAACGTCTTTCCAAGAAGTCCGCCGACCATTCAAACCTAAAGGGATCAACTCCGCAGAAAGCGGGAAACACCTCCAGCTCCCTTCTCTCGTGAAGCTCCAATATCATTTGGAGCTCCTCCATGCAGCATCTCGAAAAAGCGTAGTTCTCAGATAAAACCACGACAGCGAATCTCGATTCTGCAATAGCTTCTCTGATTTTGTCAAAAAATTGATCCCCTTCTTCGAGCTCTCGGTCGTCTATGAAAGTGACGATTCCACTGTCGATGAGGGCTTTGTGCAGATGACTGACAAAGGTTCTGCGAGTGTCTGGTCCATAGAAGCTGAGGAAGACGTCGTACTTCTTCGGATAAGGTGAAGACGACGACGCCATTGGTCTGCTCAACGAGAGCTGATTATGGAGTTTGAAACTAGAGAATTATGTAAGACCAATAATAAGCTAGAAACCGTCCCGGGTTTTCTTTCTTTTTTTTTTTTTTTGGTTAACTGTAAATTTTATAAACTGAAAAAGTAATGTACATCAGTGGTTTATCAAAAAAAAAAAAAAAAGAGGGTAAAGCCCATGTGTTTACATCAAAACCGTCCCGGATTGTTATCAAAGCCAATGGTTTGTTGTAAGACGTGAATTTGTTTTTTATTCTAACGTCAAGTGGACATAATTTGGTTAGATAATGGCCTGATAAATTTGACTTCGTCGCATATATGAACATGTCTTACGCCATAAACAAAGTGGGGGTATGTGTCCCATCACCCCATTTGTTTCCAAAAAAAAAAAAGAATAAAAAAATAACATGTTCATACGTAAACGAAGATGGGGAAGAAGACCGCCTGTTATTCCGCTAATTTTGCGGAATCATTGTCGGCTACTTTTCTTTTTCTTCGGGTCGACGACCAAGTCTTCCCATGTGATGTATTACATGTTTCAATATAAAATAGATATTGCAATTTGGATGGTTGTTTTTTTAATTATTTTTTATGGAAGATATTGCCAATGCCATATCTTTTTTCCTTTTGATTGAAATGGATTTGTCTAAAATATTATGAATTTAAAAAAAATCTAATTCTTTATTTCACTCCTTTTAAGAAAAGGGTATTCTTCATCACAGTGGATTGTTCTTTTATTCTTAAAATATTTTTTATGTAACAATTATTAAATTAAAATCGTCTTGATTTGTTTTATTTTAAAAGTGTTACTTCGTTGACTTTTATAATTGGTAGAGAGAAAATAACATTTTGCGGATACATCTTAAAATAATGTCCTGATACCTATATTCTACGAGTCTTAACACGTATTGTTTATTTATATATTTTTTTCTAACAAAGACTTCGTCCTCTATCCAAATCAAAAGAACAGTAATCGAGAATATTTAATAAACTCCTACAAGGCTACAACAAGTAGCGATTTCTGATGAAAATGATGATATATGGAATCGTAAACAGGTTCATGCATGCCTACAAAGTCAAAAGTTCTCTTTTCCCCGTGACAATTAAGCAGTAGCAGGAAAAGTCGTAAGGGGGTACATTTAATTTTATCGTATACTAACAAATATCATTTTATAATGAGAGCATTTATTAAATTTAGTTAAAATAATATAAATTTTATGAAGAAAATATTGTTTTTCAATCAAACAAATGGGGCATGTGCCCCCATTCATACCAATCTGAGTCCGCCTATGCCATTACGTATATATGAATAAACAAGTTAATAACAAAGTACGCCCAAGTTGTTGTCGGGAGCTGTTGATTTAGATGTAAAAAAAAAGAAGAAGTAAACTCTGTATTTATACACTTCTACATAGACGCACTCCTTTATATATGTGATAAAATTCACATCTGTTACAACACGCAAGTGTGCAATCACAACAATACATTGGCTCTGATAACAATTATAACATCATGTCAGTTCGGAGACGGTTTCTTGCTTATTGGTCTTCCATAATTCACTGTTTCAAACTCCATAACCCTCCCTCGCTGAACACACCAACGGTGTCGTCGCCTTCACCTCGTCCGAAGAAGTACGACGTCTTCCTCAGCTTCCGAGGAACGGACACTCGCAGAACCATTGTCAGTCATCTGCACAAAGCCCTCGTCGACAGTGGGATCCTCACTTTCAAAGATGACCAAGAGCTCGAAGAAGGGGATCCGATTTTCTACAAAATCATAGAAGCTATTGCAGAATCGAGACTCGCTATCGTGGTTTTGTCCAAGGACTACGCCTCTTCGAGATCCTGCCTGGAAGAGCTCCAAATGATAATGGAGCTTCATGGGGAAGATGAACTGAAGGTGCTTCCCATTTTCTACGAAGTTGATCCCTCTGTCGTGAGACACCAAACAGGTAGTTACGCGGTTTCATTGAAGCACTTTGAAAGACGTTCAACAATGGCGGACAAGCTTCCCCAGTGGAGAGAAGCTCTCCACGGAATCGCCAATCTCAAAGGAATTGAATCTACAGCTTGGTGAGTTGTGTTTTTTTTTTTTTATTTCTAGAAATTATTAGGAAGTGAGCAATTTTAATAACGGGAAATTCTAAACATAAGAAATAAGTAATGGAAATATGACTAATACTACATTGTCAATGTGATGATGAAATGGATTTAAATATACAATTTAGTTTTTTCTATTTAACTTCTAAATCATGTTCTAATAACAAGAATATATAAATCCAATTTAAATAGAACACACATTAATATTTAATTTTTTTTCAAACTAAAATTATTCGTATTTTCCAATATTCCTAAAAACTCAAACGTTGAACGATTTTCAAATTTTAACTTAAATTCTCCCATACTTCATAAGATCTAAACAAAATCTCTAAAACAGTTATACACTACCATTGGAATCGACTATATCTTTAGCCGTTGGAAAAAGAAAAGAAAACAATCGAATGACGGCGATGTAAAAATGCAACTACACAGAATTAGAATCATTCTTTTGTAAAATTATAGTCAAACACCCGACCATACCGATGACAAAACTATATATGATAGGATATAGACTATGATAACCTAAACTTGGCTAGCTCAATCGGTGAAATGGAGATGCAAAAAATCTGTCTCATCCCGAATTCGAACCTCAAGTTTAGGAAGAGAACTATTGTGATACCCGTAACCTCGTATACAGTGTACAGACGGTGCCACATGGACAAATATAATGTCACGAAAATACGAAATCCAAAATCATTTTTTCAAAATAGAGTAAACAGCAGAAGTATTTCAAATGATAATTAGTATCGCAAAATAACACATGTTCGAGTAGAGCAGCAGAAGTATTACACACGATAATTAGTATCGCAAAATAACACATGTTCGAGTAGTAATAATACAACCGTACAAAGCCGGGAATACAAATCCCGTAGTCCAAAATACAATCCCGTACATGATACTACATCTCTCAGATCGTCGTCGTCCGGGTGTTTTAGTCGTACTCCTCGTGGTCTGGAAAAAGATAAAACCACGAAGGCTAAGCACAAATAGTCCGAGTAGAACCCAGTAATCTTGTTCTCTGCGAGAAAAGTGACTCACAATCAACATGAAACAATATCAAATATGCATCATCACATCACATCAGTCACAATTATATCAATCACAATTATACCCGTATGACGTCGCATCATAAGGTTAACCATAAAGCCCTAGTCATGTCGGCATGACTAGGAGCGCCTCACACGTCCGCCACTCTCGTGACGTTAGCTGCTGCGTCACATGACTATATGCGCCTCATGCACGTGTTATATCTCGTGACTACCAATGTCAAGTCAATCACATAACGGAATACAATCACACCCATATGGAGTCCACCATAAGGTTAGCCATCAACCCTAGTCAAGTCAGCATGACTAGGAGCACCTCCACACCCATCACTTCGCGTGACTTTGTCAGTCGCATCACACGCAATATCACAATCACACCCATATGAAGTCCACCATAGGGTTTAGCCATGAACCCTAGTCAAGTCGGCATGACTAGGGGCGTCTCATACGCCTGTCACCTCACGTGATGTTGGTCGTCGCGTCGCACGTGACTATATCACAAACACAATCATGCTCGACTCGCATCGCACGAGTGAGCTACAAACATGACATAAAACACACATTATCCCCCACTACAATCATGCATATCACGATATTTGGTCTTCCACCGACCTATCGGTCAACGCCATACAATGTTATCCAATTTAACAAACACACAACGAGTCTCTCGAAAGTTGAATCGCATATCTCACCATGCGTGGTAACTCGAAAACTTGTTGAAGAATGAGTTTCTGTACCCTGGACCGGTCGGTCCAAGATGACGTTGGCCTTCATTTCGTCCGTTCTATTTCAGTCCGTTGGGGTGGATCATTCGGGCTGAAAATCAGCCCATTCGGACTAGAACCGTCAGTCCGTTCCGACTGGGACTTCCAGTTCGTTCGGGTTGGAGAGTCAGTCTGTTCGGACTGGGGTTCCGCACTTCATCTTCTTCGCGAAAGTATCTTTCTGGTCCGACTTTGTTTGATCATTTTTCACTCATTTCTCCACCAAATTATGTACAGTTTGTTGTAAATATTCATTGAAATATCCTATATCTAATCTAAGTAGCAAACCATCGAAATAACACAATAACACGGCGAAAACGAGTTCACACAAATCCAACTTAAGCCACTCACCTCTGTTTCGGTTTAGATCTAGTTTGGTCGAGTTTGTGGCCGTTCTCCGAGCTCTTTCTCGTCGAAAACTTCTTCTAGATACGCTAGGGTATCCTTTCCTTGCTTTCTCGAGCCTCCTTTCTCCCCCTTTCTTCCCTTTTCTCTCCCTCGCTCTCTCTTTCTCCTCTTTCTCCTCTTTCCTTTGTTTCTGCACTTTTCAACAATAATGGTTGAAGTGAAGGATTGAAAGGAGTCTATCTAGCTCGCGTGAGGGAGGTCTAGTGGGCTCAAGCCTAGACTAAAAGTCGAGCCTACAATGCCCTCGTATGATTAGGCGGCAATGGAACCTCGGTGGATCCCGAGTGCAGAGGACAGGTGGCCAGAAAGGTGTAACTTGCATAAGTTGCACTCGGTCGTCAGTCTATTCGGACTGTCTTTCTGGTTCATTCGGATTGTCTTTCTGGTCTGTTCGAACTTACTTCAAAGTCCCTTCGGACTAACTTCCTAGTTTGTTCGGACTGACAATTGCATAGTCTATTTTCGGTTGCTCTGTTCTCACTCGTTTCTTAATCAAATTACGTTTTTGCGATTTCAGTTTCTCCTCAATTTTCGTTCATTCATATCTCTCTCGTTTCTCAATCAAATCGAGAGTCGTTTGTTTCTAGATCTTCATTTAAATATCTTCTTTTAAATCCAAACAACAAATCATTGAGATATCACGATTACAAGATGAAAACAAGAGTACATAGAGGCGACTCATATTAATTCTCTATCTTTTTAGTTTTCCTTTATCTTTTCTTTTTTCCCGAAAGTAATTTAAATAATTCATTCGAGAATCGGGGTATTACAGTTATAATCCAAATTTCATACCGGTCTCGGGATTAGTTTGGGTCTTGGTCTAGAATACCCGATTAGCTAAAAAGGATGGACTATGATAAACATCTTTGTTGATTTTTTTTCAACGATTTAGGAGAGTTACGAGATAAAATAAATCAAAACTAAAAAGAAAAATAAAAAATAAAAAAAATAAATGAGATGGAAAAATATCATTTATCACCTCTTATTATTGGGACATTAATAGTCACACCTTTATACATATTTTCATTACTTGTATGTATCTCACTAATACTACTCTACACTCTAACAGTGATAACGTAGATCTAGGTATAAAAATAATGTTCAAGTAATAAAAATCTAAACATATCAAATACCACAAAGATACGAATCAATTGTAGTACAATGGTCGAGTACAAAGAATAATTAACACTAAGAATAAAACTCGACTAAAAATCAAATTAGAAAATATAGATAAAGTGTGTAAATATCATAAACAAAGACAATAAATAAACTAAATAAAATCAGATAGATAAACCATCGCAGCTATGGGATCGCATTAACGCACATGTATTATTTCAAAGGATGAAAATGTTATGAATATCGAACTCTAATTGGAGGTCGCAAGTTCTGATATTGGATTTGGCTCTTTTATGTTCTGAATCCACTATCCAATAATTCAACTCATCAATCATTCAACCTAATAGATTAAAATATCAGATATATAAAGATCACTATCATAGTTCCTAAATCAATTAATCTATCTTTCAATAGTCTTAATCAATTCATTTGATGAATTCGTTTCGAATCTAATTCTAACTTTTATTGTAAATTACAAGCTAAGATCAATCAATCAATTGACCGGATAAAAAACAATGAACCCAATTCAATCAAACTGACGAGTCTCGATAACATAGTCTTAGAAAATAAAAATAAAACAAAATCCCTACGAGGCTAAATCCTAGCAGCAGTGAAACAACTATTCACTACCCATACTAGCAAACGAGTTCAAATCAATAAAAAGAAACATAAGTACATATAAAGAAGTAACTCGCAACGATCTCTCGATGACGGTTTCTTCAATCTCTTCTTCCGAAAAATTCCATCATGCTTATCTCTCGAGTTCTCTGACTTTTGATGTGATCTCTCCATGATTTATGAAGCTCAAGACATCCTTTATTTATTGGCTCGACGACTAGGTTTCTTCTCTTTTTGAAAACAAAATTTTAAAAGCAAAATAGAAATTTTTCCGCTATGCAACACGGCCGTATCGAATGCAACATAGTCCGTATCAATTCTCTGAATAAAATTTTAGTTTTTGAACAACTCAACATGGGCTAGGTCGAATGCAATACGATCTGTGCAAATTTACTGAGCTAAACTTTATCGAATACAGCACGGACATGACACGATCGTGTCGATTCTTCGACTCAAATATGCTCGAAAGATTTGTTCACAACTTTTTGTTCCAATGCTGGATTTGTATGATCTTGATATCTATCGTAGATGTCGAAAAAGCTTTTCAATTATGTAGAGAACACATGATTTGGACTTGTAGAATGAAAGTGATTGGATTTGCAAGATTTGACATTTTAGACTTTATATTTTTGAACAACTTCAAATATTTCCATTCTGTCCATGATGTTTCATAATTCATAATTTTCACTATTTTCACTCTGTTTTATGCATAAATATCCGTTTTTAACATCAAGAGATACAACCAAGCAATACCGGTACCAAATTGTTCTAGAATGGCTATAAATGTGCAAAACAAAGTAAAATGCACTAGACATCCTATATCACCAAAACACATACTATCAAACACTACTATAAAACCTCGTTTGATACTCGATCATAAATTTTTTTCATATCGATAAATATCATATACAAATCTTTCTTCATCTAATTTTTTCATTAAGTTACGAATAAAAAAGATTATTTTCAATATAGAATTTTTGGATATAAAACCAAATTGGTTTACGGAAACAGACGTGTAAAAAAGGGCGGGTCGGACACATTTCGAGGCGTGTTTGATTAGGACCTTGATTTTTTTGGATCGGATCGGTCTGCACATTTATTATTTGGGTTTATGATCGGTGGCTTGTAACTTGACTCTATAAGGTTTGGGTCATGTTTTGGATTTTTTCTATTTAGTAAAAAAAATATTATATATAATAATAATGAGTTATTTAACATTGTTTTTTAAAAATCAACAATAACAAATTTTTTATCGGCATTAACTATAATTAAAAAATTTTAAATTTAAAAAAATACCATGTAACCTTTAAAATTTATCTAATATTTTTAATATATATATATATATATATAATATAAAAGAGATATTCAATACAATAAAAAAGTATAGAAAGAACATTGATATAAAACTTAAAAATCAAAGTTAAACTCAAAAAATATTTATATATATCAAACCAAAATCTAATCAAACATTCAATAATATATATAAATGATTTAAAAATAATAATATATAATTTTACATACATTAATCAAACTATTTTGAAATATAAATATATATGTATATGAAACATACAGATAAAAGTTTTTTTAATATGATGTAAAATTATAAATCTAATAATCTAATATTTTTTCGGATCAATGGTAGGATGAGTTTCAAACCGAATTCGATTCGGATTTGAATTTTTTCGGGTCGAGTCGCCCACCCATTTATTTATGGATCCTGTATTATTAGGTCCAAACACTTAATTTTTAGAGCGGACTCGAGCTGAACTTCGGGTTTGGGGATTTTATTTACACCTCTGCCAAAATTTATGAGACATGTTTGATGTTACCACTTGAAACTTACTAATAGAGCTCTGCATGCAGTGTAACTGATGCGGCGTTGATTGAAAAAATAGTTGGAGAATACATCCCAAGGGAGTATGGTCGGGGCATTAAGGAAGTAGATTTGACCGATATAGTTGGAATAGAAGCTCGCATTGAAAGGATAAGTCCTGAGTTGGCCATCGACTCTGAGGATGAGGTTCGAATAATTGGGATTTGGGGTATGGGAGGGATTGGCAAAACTACCCTTGCAAACTGTCTATATAGCCGATATGCGCGTCAGTTTCCGGCTTATTGTTTCATGAAAGACATTTTGAAGATGTCTAAAGGTCCCCCGTGTTTATTACCAAGAACGTTTCTTTCTTACATCCTCCGTGGGGAGAATACACAATTGGTCGGCCGGGAACTTGCCCAATTGACGAAGCGCAGGCTTCAAAACCTAAAAGCTTTTATCGTCCTCGATGGCGTGGATAACGTGGAGCAGTTACTTGCCATCGCAGAAGAACGTAGCTGGTTTTGTCCAGGGAGCCGAATAATCATCACTACACGAGACAAGTCCCTTCTCCAGTCCTATGGAGTGGATCACATATATGAAGTCAAGTGCTTGGATGATGAAGATGCGCTAAAGATGTTCAAACATATTGCTTTCGAAGGGGGTCGTCGTCCTTCTGATGGTTATGAACAGTTGTCAATCCGTGTTGTTTCTCTTGTTCAAGGTCTCCCTTCTGCTCTTAGAATTTTCGGGCACCGTCTGCGTAGGAAGTCTGCAAAGGAATGGGAAAGGGAATTGGGGACACTCGAAGAAGCTCCTCACCCGGATATCTTCGAGATCTTGAAGGTTAGCTATCAAGGCTTGGGTGAACGAGATAGGATTGCTTTCCTTCACGTTGCATGTCTTTTCAATGGAGACCTTGCCTGGCTTGTGGCCGCCCTTCTCGATGAAACATATCATGGCTCAGGTATCAGAGCTTTAGAGGAGAAGTCGCTGATCGACATATCGAATGATGGATGTATATCCATGCATGCTTTGGTGGAACAAGCGGGAAGAGAGATCGTGCGTGAGGAGTCCCGGGGCAGGCCTTGGAAACAAAGAGTTTTGTGGGATCCTCTAGAAGTTTGGGACGTACTGGCACACACCAAAGTAAGCCTACGTAAACGTTTCTTATATAACTTTTTCTTTCTTTCTTACAGAACATAGATGTCTTCTTGTAGAAAGGGATCGCACTGTTTAGCATTTGCCTTATATCGAACAATCCGGAAAAAAAAAACTCAAAAAGAATACAAGAAGAACTTAGAGATTTATATTAACACTCTTTTTTATTTATTTGATTTTGCTTGATTACACAGAAGAAGAGGAGATGAGTTCCATGGTTACAATGTTAAAAATTTTAGATTTTTTTATAATTTTTTATTATAATTATCTAGATTTTTCTATTAAAAAAATAGATATCATTCTTATAAAAACTTTTAAAAATTGGATCAAAATTATTCTTGGTTTAGTTTATTGAATCAATGATCAATCCAAAATCATTTTGGTCCAAAAAATTAAGTTTAATTTTAATACTTCTTATCCCGACGGGTTTTTTTTTTTTTCAGGGCACAGATCAAATTGAAGGCTTGGCACTGAATATTTGTATGATGTCTTGTCAACAGCTGTGTATGGAAAAGACTGCTTTTAACCCGATGTATAATCTCAAATTCCTCAAGTTCTACAGGCGCGAGGGCAATTTGAAGATCGTTCCGACAATGCGTTATTTTCCCCGTACGCTTAGGCTGCTACATTGGGATGCATATCCTGTGTTCAACCTGTATGCTTTGCCTTATCTACCCTTTCTCATTGAACTCAACCTGCGTTACAGCAATCTCACATGCTTCTGGGGTGCGAAGCCGGTAGGCTATTTTACAAAAATTGAATATGGTTTGATATAGAACCTTGTAATGTTTTCACATAAATTCAATTCCCCTCTCTTTTTGTTGTATTCAGGGACTTACGAATTTACTGAGGCTGGATGTGTCGGGGTCTAAAGATCTGGAACGACTTCCAGATCTTTCAGATGCCGCTAAACTCAAGGTGTTGCTAACGAAAGGCTGCACGAGACTACAACTGCCGCCAAAGTCCATCAGTGACTTACCTACTACTCTGACAGAACTCGATCTCTCCAACTGCGATAGACTTCGCGATCTGGAGATCAATGTAAGTGCACTGGCTGCCTCTGAAGAACACAACAGGCGGATTACATTGAAGTTTCCAAATTCAGCACGGGAACTCAAGTATCTTGGGCGTGTATCCATCGATGGAAACATTGATATTACGTTACCCCCGCAACTTCAAGGAAAGGCAGATCACCTCTCCTATCATACTGACCAACATATCCTTCATAAATTCACGGATCTTAAACTGCTAACATGTGACCGCGGACAAGATTTTCACAAGTTTTCATCTCTAACCATCATGAGGTTCAACTACCACGGGGTACATGTTCCCTTCGAGTGTAATAGCTTTTCAACATTCCCCTTCTTGAGAGAGTTGAATCTGATCAACGTGCATATCAACGACCTTCCGGACAACATCGGGAAGTTGCCATTCCTAGAGAAACTGAATCTAACTGGAAATGATTTCAAGAAACTGCCGGAAAGCATGACAAACCTTACCAAGCTGAAACGACTCGTGCTTTGTAACTGCCGCAACCTTAGATCGCTTCCAGAACTATCTCGGTTGGACACTCTCACACTTTCCGACTGTACAAACCTCGAAGAACTGATGAATCAAGAGGAACACTGTTTGCTTGAGCTCGGACTTGAGAACTGCATGATGGTTCGATCATTATCAGATCAGCTTAGTCGTTTTACCAATTTAACGCAGCTAGATCTCAGCAGACATGGTTTTGAGACATTGCCTGGAAGCATCAGGGAGTTTTCCACATTGTCGACTCTGTATCTCAGTAATTGCCAGGGACTGAAATCAGTAGCCGACCTCCCGTTGAGCCTCAAGCATCTCTATGCACATGGCTGCGAGTCCCTGGAAACCGTTTCCCTATCCCCGGGTCATTCCATAACGCACCTTGATTTGAGCCGTTGCTTCCGCTTGAAGCAACATGAACTCCTGATCGCACAGTTTCTAACGAACCGACTAAATGAAGAGGTAAAAACTTTCAGTTCTCATCCAATTTATCATAACGAATTCACTTTCCGTTTTCTTTTACAGGCATCACCAATGTTTGCTTGCTTACCGGGAACTTCAGTGCCTGAATTCTTCGAAGATCAAGAAACCGAGAGATCCATAACAGTTAGCTTACCCGAGATTTCCTCTGCCTCTGCAGTAATGGGTTTTTCTGCTTGTGTCATGCTTGCTTGCGAGAATGTCGCCTTCCGTTGTTCATCGTCTTCTTATGACTGGACCTGGAAAGATGATTGCGTTCGAGTGAACCTCAAACCAGATTTCTTTACTTTGCCTGAGAGAATCCCGAGGAATGAAGAAGGGGTCGAGACATCAGATCATCACCTGTTTATCTTCCATGTCACAAGAAGCATAACCGAAGATCTTGACGATGAGTTCAGTTTCGAATCCAATCTTCAGTATCCAGAAGAGTTACCGCATCCATCCGGAAAGATAGAATCTTGCGGAGTTCGCCTAACTTTTTGAAGATGACGACAATTGACAGTGTGAACTGTTGGATGTTGGATGGTGGCTCAAGGTGACTGAGGGAGACAAAATCGACGACGACGACAGGCGGTGCCGCCGGCGACGAACGATACCGACGAAAAGGATCTGTCAGGGAGAGAGAGAAAGAACGTGTTTTTTTTTAGATTGGCTTCATATGAATCTTTTAATTTGGGGATTTTATTGGTTTTGAGTTTTTTTAATCACTCTATCGATTTCAAGGCGGTTTAATTCCATCGAAATTTTAATTATTTAAACGGATTTGATGATGTGACGTATGACTATGTCACCGTTTTTTTTTCCGGATTATGTTGATCATTTAACGTTGCCAATAGATGTTGATTTATTTGAAAAAGCTTAATGAGTTTATGTATTTATATGAGATTTTTAAAATTCCTATGCATTTAATTGGAAATTTTTTTTTTATAAAAGTTGGGGTATTCATAAGTTATTTTCCTAAAAAAACCATTCCAGGAATCTAACTGAGAACCGTGCATCAGAGCAAATAACATTTCTTATTTAGAAACACCCAAGATTTTGACACATTCATCACAAAGAGCGGAAACCAAGAAGGTAGAAAAAGAACAAAACTGATTAGCTAAAGCTTGACAGACAGAAAGAGACAAGAACAAAGAAACTTCGGTATCTTCTTCTGTCCGGTCATTGTGACTTAAGAGCAAACCCCATCTAGGTTCTTGGCCGACAGCCTCTTCAAGAACTCGTAAGTAGTGATCATGGTCGTTGCGGACATCGACATGGACGCACATCGAGGTCCTAGCCCTCTGTAACACGCCATCCACCCGCCTTCCCTTACTAGATTCCTAACCGTTTGCCCGATCGTCGGCCCCTTCTTCCCGTTGTTGCTATTGCTATCTTCCCCGTCAAGAACCTGCAGTCTCGTCTTGATCGTGTCGAGTGGCATTGTAATCAGTGCAGAAACACTACCTGCAATGGCAGCACTAACTCCTTGGACTGCCATTATCGTCTTGGAGTCAGGCTTGATTGGATTGTTATTACCGGATTCACTCTTCACTTCATCGTCTTTCTTACACATGTAACACCCGACTCCGCCCCAAACCATCCGTTGAGCAACAGAGTAGGATGCCCACCAGACTGCGTTAGATGGAGCATAAGTCATGATCGATATCCCAAACCCTCTATATAAGCCCCTTGGCCCATCTGATCTGATGATCTTTCTAAACGCATCGAACCCGTTAACATATTTACACCTCGAAGCGTTAACCAGACCACTCCCTCCTTGGACCATAAGCCTTTGGCTCACAACGTCAACGGGCGTCCAAACGAGCTGTGCAGCCATTGCAGCGGTCAGACCCCCAACAGCATTTGCCATGGCTGCAGCCTTGGCCTCTGTAAACCCTAAACTAACAGCCGAAGAGCCAACGTTACTCTTTGTAACCTCCAACGCCGCCATGTACAACGCCCGAGCAGGGATTGTTCCCATCAAAGAAGTCCCAAAACCTCTGTACAAACTCCTCAGCCCTTCATGGCTAACGAGCCTAAACACGGTCCTGATGCAGGAAACTTGTGATTGGCAAACTTGTTGCCGAGTTTTGATCAGAACCGCTGGGTAAAGAGCTCCTGATACTCCAGAAAACAGGGCGGAGCCGAGGAAGAAGAACTTCGATTTATCGAGCATTTCCCAGTTGATATCAGCTGGGATGTGAATATCTTGAGATGATGATTCTTCCTCGGCCGCACCCAGATTCATCTTCGCCACTTTTAAACCAAACCCAAAAACACAAAAAGTTCAAAGCCTTGAAATTTTTTTCCACAACTTTTTTCCCGGTGTTAACAGTTTCAGAGCTACAATCACTCTACCTGTACAAAACCTTCCTAACTCAAGAACAACGAAAGGAACCAAGCGAGTCTATTTACACCGGAGATTCTACAAAACCCTAGAATTTTTACAAAGACAAAATTGTCAGAAACAAAATCGCTAAAAAAAGGAAGATTTTTCAGAAGTCGGAGATCAAACCAAGAGAAGAGAGCATTTCTTTCCTCCTGCGGAACCACGTTTTGGATCCAACACGATCAACCAAACTATTCGGATCTAGAAACATGTCTGAAGGGATCGAAGACAGAATCCAGAAATTGACCGTACCGGAGAAAAACGATCATCCTCACCGGAAGGACAGGAGGATCTCACCGGGAGAGGTCCGTTACCTCCGCCGGAGATATCAGAGAGGGATTACGCGCGAGAAGAGATGGATGATACAAGAAGGCGATTCGAGAGAGAGAGGCTGTGCAGTGTAAGAGAGAGAGAGAGAGATGGCTATGTTATGTAGGGTTCCTGTCTTTGCATTGAGGGCAAATGACAGATTCAACCCTACTGCCTGTGAGATTTGTCCTGAAAATGTGGATGTTTAGCTATTTTATTTTATTTTTATACATAATAAAATAAATATGTTTACGTTTATTGTATACCAATGTTTTATTTTTTAAATATTAGCTATTTGACTATATTTAACTTTTAATATATGGTTATTAAATATATTTAAGATTCACATGACAAAGCCACCCAATGGATTTTAGCAGGGGTGAATAAGATTAATTTTATTTTTGTAAAATAAAATTTCATTAAAGATGCATTTATAATGGTTATTTTGGCTAGAGTTTATAGCTAATTTGCTTGCTCTTAATTTTATTAAAACATATGTTTTCTTTCCAACCAGATTAATCTATAAAGATTATACAGAAACCAAAATCGAATTCATGTCCCAAGATGGATAATTCAGAATTGAATAATCTTAGTTAAATGTATATCAATCCGTTATATCTTTAATTTAACAATAACCGTAAAAATGTGATTTTATTTCCGCACAAGTGAGCATTGTATAATGTTTATAAAAATATAGAATTACAAAATTTAAAATTACTATAGGATCATGGACTTGCTAAATGATTTTAAATCAATTGTTCTAAGAAAAAAACAAAAGAATAATCCGAAATAATAAGATTCGGTAGATCACAAAAAAGTATAGTTTAAGTACATGATTCCTTCAAGCGAGAGTGGACGGCTAGGATGAAGAGACTCGAAAGAGAAGTCATCAAAACGGAGGGTTAAGATCTTTTGTTAGCGTGTAGACGTGCGTACAGGATTAGAACTCGCTTTTGGATAAGATGGGTGACGTGGCGGAACGTATCTCCGTTGATGTTGGGACTCTAGCTGCAGTCACGTGACTTTTGAATTACCTCTTCCACTGTCCACTGTCGCAAAGGTTGCTTGCAGTGATTGAAGTCCAAACAAAGAGTACAATCTAATTTATTATCCTAAGATATTTTCCGAACGAGGAGAGAGATTAAAAGAGAATTGCTATGTTATTATTTGTTTTGAATTTTTATTATATAACTAGTTTTATATTTATGATTTAGAAATTTTATCAACTTATTTATTCAAGCTCTTTATTTTTATAATAATGACAATTATCTCACCATTGACATATATAGAAAAACTTTTGTCACTATATTATATTATAATAGTGGATTCTATTTTGTCACAGAAAATAAAATGAACTAATTTGGAATATGATAGTTTTATATATAAACTATAAATAATTTATAATAAAAAATGTATTTTGAATTAGTTATAAACATGTATCAAGCCTTAAACAAATTTAAGTTAGGAATTTTATACATTTTACAAAATAGAATCCAAATAAAAACAAAAACCTAAATATTTGTATTTATTTCTAATGAATCGTGTTAAGATGATGACATACACAAACATTTTCCAGCTTAAGCAAGCCTATAAATAGAATAAATAAATCTTAGTATTAGCCCACAAAAAATATGGCTAACAAATTAACAATGCGGAGAACATTTCCTCGCAAATACTGGGACCTGAGTTTACAACTATATCCCCAACAATTGAGGATATTACCAGACTGCCACTACAAGGACTTATATATACAAGCTTTCAAACGCAACTCCTGTTCTACTGTGACAAAAGGGGGACATAAATGGGATATGTTCTGTCGGAATTTCAATCTGACTTTTGCAATAAGAACATGAATCCTGAGTTTTGGCGTATCAGAGGAGGCGGATCAATCTCTGCAACCTCTAAGCTTTGCATCGATTTGGAGACATCGTCCAACGAGAAGGGAATGCTGAAAAGGAATCATAACACGAAATATCAAGCATGTTTCAAGTGAAGCCTAGTGTTCTATATTTGCTAATCTTTTCGTTTTTACGATACCTCGAATCATCGTCTAGTAGGAACGAGCTACTGACAGCGTTGTTCGTTTCCTCTGTCATCAAAACCCGCATGCTCGAGATGACCTGCATCATAATATAGCATTATGTATACTCTCCACTGTCTATTTCAGTGTATGCTTATGCAAAATTATAGATAAAGCAAGAAAGTGATGGAAATTTTACCTCGGAAGATACTGTATGTGTACCGTATTTGTCGTCCCAATACATAGTACTGATTCTGTATAATTGCTGGATACTAAGCACCTGCAAAGGGACGAGCATGTTGCATTAAAACGGGAAAGTAAAAGAGACAAGAAAGAAGAGCGAGGACAAGTAAACGAACCGGGCAAAGCTCGGTGGTTATCTCTTTTAAGCTCTTCTTCGGTTTCTGATGTATGACCTGACAAAACCCGAGGTGGAAAATGCGGTCAGCAACATGTGAAGTGAAGTGAAATTACGAATCAGATCAAAGTAAAAGGCGAGGAGTTAAAAAGGATCAGACCAAGAATCCAACAGCTTGTCTTATATGCTTTAGCTCATCCCAAGCCGAACCAGTGAACTGAAACACAAACCAAACATTTTAAAATCCTTTGGACTTCGGGAGAAGCCGAGAAGCAAGCAGTTGAAAACATTCATTACAGGTAAATACGCATCGTACCTCGTCAGTTGCATCATGGCACCACTGTTCCAATTCAGCAAGGCCCGTTTTTACATATTCCCCATTGCTAAACGAACAGCATTCCCGTCTCAAAAGGAGACTGCACAGCACAAAATGAAACACAAATCAGATTTTCGTTCTTCTTATGTAATATCACAGTAGTATAGATGAGAAATTTTTTTACCTGTTAAACAACTGAACGTTTATAAACGAAAATATCTGAGCAAAGACTTTAGAAATGAGCAATGGAGGAACCTGCAATTGACCAAGTCGAAATGAGTAAGGCAAGAGCAAGCAAAAACATGCAGCACAGACAGATATACACACACACATAGAAATATATATATACATATATCACTTTCTCTGCAAATTTTACTCACATAGTTGGCCCTCATGGTCCTCAAGCAGTTGTTTAGACTTTTGACAATACTTTGCCAATGGGCAATCAGAGCTTGCTGAGCAACAGTGTTACTCTGTGAACGTCCTTTTACTAAACCAGAACGTGATGTCCTTGGCGCCTGTTTCATCATCATGACGACATCCAGAATCAGACAAAACCAAAAGGAAACACCAAAATGACAACACTAAAGCACATGTTATGAACCGCATACAAAAACAAACACCCAAGTTCGTAAAGCTTTCATGCAGATTTGGTTAGTGGCTTTATCAGAATTAGTCTTCATGCCAAAGCTCCATATCTACCTGAATGCATGAAGCAAGCAAAGGGGCTATCTCTTTCTTCATATTGTCTCTTATCATTCCATATATCTTTTCCAGGAAAGCAGTGAGTTGCTGCTTGAAAAGCAAAGCCGGATATTTAGCTTCGACTTGACGTAGTTCGTCTATTCCACCAAGTCCCCCGATCACACGTCCATTGAGAAATGAGAATCCTGCACTTTGCGGAGAAGTTCGGAGACCCTAAGCAATTCAACGAGGTACCAAGTGAGAATCTGTCTAAAGGCATAAACCAAAAGGGTGGAAGAAAATTTCTTAAGAGAAAAATAAATATTTTCAACCTGAGACACCCTTCCAAATAAAGATGATGACACTCCCCGTCGCCTTTGTGGAGTTAAGCTCGCTGTTCCCCCAGCTTTTAATGTGCGTTGAAGCAACATCAATATCGTTGCGGAATTTGATAGCCAATAGGATAATACATCATTGTTATCTTGCGTCTGCAAATGTTTTAACATCCAAAATTTTGATACAGAAAAAAAGCATAAAAATCATCAGTTGTATGAGAAGACATCGAACGACATCAAAGTACCTCAATGGCAGATCCTATTGTCTGGATTATGCGGTCAAAGATACTTGTTCTTTCAACCTCAAATGATCTCCAGTGCAGCAAACACTTGTATATCAGACACGCAGCAACAGGCTTGCCTTCAGAAAATCCTATATCTTGTGAAATACAATTCAGTAGGAGCTCTTGATTTTCCTGAAAATATGAAAAAAAAATGGACATAATTAGACCAAATTCTTCATCTCATGTGTATGCAGATCAATGTCTACACTAAGGCTTCAAAGTAATAGATACCTGTTGTTTCTCGTTAAGCGATCTCTGTGGCCTATCTTCCGTTTCCGGTTCCTATAGGCAGTCATAGGAGAATTTAATCTCAAATCACAGAAGACGGTAATGGGACAAAAGGCTTTGCTTTGCCCATATATATACATACACACATATAGATATAGAAGAATATCCAAGATTAATGCCGTTACTTGTACCTGAACTCTCCTAATTTCACCATTGAGGATGATCTCTTTCTCAGGAGTTCTCTGTAATTTCAAGGAAACAACAGATGTGTCAAGCATGGTTAACCATTTTATATCAAGATTCAAGACATAGCTTGTATCCACCATTACCTGTATGATTGTAGTTTTTGGTTTGGTGGTCAAAGCTCTAGTAGTTGGTGAAATTGCAAGGGCTTGTTTCCGGAGTACCTGATTCTCTGACTCCAGATTAGAGACCTTTTCTTGGAACCTGATTTAGAAAGAAAAAAAAAAGAATAAGGTTTTGTCAAGAAGAAGGTGTACACTGCATGCATCTTCTCACGCATGATACTGCACCATACTATCTCATTAATGACAATACACTTTTCTAGTTTCCACAACCAAGCTTATGGATCATCAGACTACATGAATGGAGGAAACAGAAAGGTCTGTTTACAATAAACAGACAAAAAAATTTCAACAAATGTAAAAATGGTTTCCAAATGTTATCCAGTTTCATAAAAATGTGCAAACCTTACAGATGAAACAGCGGTTGATGTCAAGAGAAAAATGCAAAACAAACCTCTGAACAGAATCTTGAAGCTGGTCTAATTTTCTCCCAGCTTCTTCAAGTTTCTTGCTCAATTCCTCGTTCTGGGCCAATGCATCAGCGTGAGCTAGCTCCGCTTCAGCTGCTCTATGTATTTCTGATTCCAACAATGCCTGCATAAGTAAGGAAATGGCCATCAGAAATTCCACATCAGTTGTGATACCATCCAATGTCAGAGGCCATCAAATAGAGCATTTGCTCTCTACTATGACAAGAGAAATCATCATGTATGTATGTTTCCATCTGTCAAGAAAACACTCAACAAAACTCTCCAGAACATATTGCGGCATATTGCACCTTTTCTTGCAAGATAACTTTATTCATAAATAAGAAAATAAAATGGAGGTCCTCGTGCATCAAGGGTGAAGAAATTATAACACCTTGGATGGATCAACACCTAAATAGATTTTAGTTGCGTACCTTTAGCTTCTCAACCTCATTGCTCAAAGAACGTATCTTTTCGGTATCTTCAACAATGACAGGGGTTTCCTTAATAATCGGGCGTGCTTCTTCAATGACTTTTCGAGCTGCCTCCCGTTCATTTAAAATCATCGCATCAGCTTCGTTCAGCTGAGATCGCATGGTCTGCAATGAATCTTGAAGCTTTGCAACTTCTTGCACCTTTGCCTCCTCGAGATCAGTCTGTTTGTCAGAAAAAAACGAAAAATTTAAATACCGAAGTAAGTCATACGCCACATCCAGATCTTGCAGACCAAACATAACATATTTACAGTAATGCTAATTAAAACAAGATTCCCAAAAGATAATTCCAAGCATGCAAATCATAATTAGGTTACCCTTAATCGTTTCTCCAGTTGCAAACGCCACGTAAGCTCCTCGACCCGCTTCTCTAGTCTATCCTTAGCTTCTTTAAGAGCCCCAGTTTCTCTTGCAGCCTAGATAAATATTAAACATATGGAGTTTGCAGTTTGAGCTTTATGACAAAACATCACTTATGTTGAATAAGATAACAGAAAAACACGGCAAAGAATCCAACCATTTTCAGCTTTCTAAGCTCCCTTCTAGCAACTCTACATCTCCAACCACATTGAGACACAACTGCCGCTCTCTGAAGCCGTTTATAATATGAGCAAGCTTGGAAACAACGCCAGCGAGCCTGAAAAAAAGCAGCAGATATCAATGTAGTTACGTTGTGATTGAATAAAATATCCAACCAATCGCTCAACTGGGCATGGATTCTATCCTCGAGAGGCAGTTTTGGATATTCCCTTTTCTACAAAGTGCCGGGAAAATATGATACCTGAATCATGATGGCAGCCTTTGTCTGCTTTCTTAACCTGAATTCATTACGCGCAGCCATTGCCCTTAAGCCCTTCTGCAAAATGATTGCAGATGACCTCATGCTCACAAAAGATTTCCTCGCAATGTACCGACGGAAATTCTTCTGAATTTTTATGGCTGCGGCTTCTTTCTTCAGCTGTTCATGTACTGCTCGGGCCATCTCACCTGCAATAAAATAGGTAAACGCCGGAACGTCAGAACAATTACACAAGCAGCAGAATTTAGAGAGCAAAATAAAAGAAGAGAAAGTACAAGTACTGGTGCAAACAAGAAGGTTCAGACTCAAATGATGGGAAGCCAAAAGAGTAAACCAGATCAATAAAATCCTTTCACACAAATATTTCTTGGAGCTATAACTGAGATATAACATCATATCCTGTGGTCAGACCTTCATGAAGCCCAAAACATACCTCGCAGGAAGGATTGCAACACAATAGCTGCATTGCGAATAGAAAGGAATTCCCTTCGAGCAATGTATGTGTGAGCCCGCCTCTGAATGATTCTGGCAGCATTTCCAAGCACCTCAGTTCTTCTAGCATCTAGTTCAGCCATCTGACCAGCTCTCAGGAAAATCTTTGTCTTCCCTACCTATAAGAACATAGCACACATATTAGTCTGACGAGACTAACAACCATAGACAAATTTGCCGCAATTCCACAAATGCCAATGACTACTAGAAAGCATATAATAAGCTCACCTGGTATCCTTTTAAACCTTTCTTATCAAGAATCTTTTGACATGCAATTTTGTCATCGTAGCTGAAAAGAAGGAAAATTATATTTCTTAATCAAGCTGAAATTAATTTTGGAAAGAAAAAAAAGTATCTCCGATAGACATAGCTACTTACTTTCCTTCCAAAACATCTGGAGCAAGCAGACCAAAACGGTTAAGAAAGTCATAGAAAGTGCGTCTGGTAGGATAACCAGCACAACTGATCCTAATGGCTTCAAGAACACCCTACAAAGGGGAATAAATATAACTTTCTCGGAAAAATATGGCATTTACTGATAAGTGAGCGATTACCAAAGGATTTCCATGTACACCTAGCCAGGTATGTAGTATGCTAAGAAATCTCATCCGGGGTGAACAAGAATTGGGGATCGGATGCGGGCGAAATTTCCGCCAATGGCTTATCCAAAAACCATAGGCTATTATCACGTCCGTTCAGAACAAATCAAATCGATATAGAAGAGAAGGATAAGAGGAAACAGGGAAACACCATTAAATTTTGTAATTTGTATACAAGAAATCCTCCAAGGAAGAAATAAAATACCACAGGCAAAAATCCCACCAAGCAAATGGAGGGAAAAGACACACAACATGCATATATAGAAAAGAGTAAGCTTAATCCAGAAAAGAATATAAAAGGAATCTAACAATAAGTAACAAAAAAAGTATCTGAGCCTAATAAGAAATGTTAGTCCGACCTCGAATAAGAGCTAGATGTAGACATTATTGTTAAAAAAAAAGAAAAAGAAAGAATAGTCCCTATCCTTTAAGAGTGTCATCTAAACTTGAATACTAAGTAACAAGATTACCTAACTTAGGGTTTAGGGTATACTTAATACACCTATAAAAGTGAACAGAGTGCAAAAGGATATACTTACCCCACAACGCAATTGATGAATAATGTTGAAGTTCTCGAGAATGCCAGGTTTAAGAACATTGTTTGGCTTAATACATCTGATGTAATGAGGTTCTGTGGCATTCAGTGTTTCCATGAGGGAGTGGAGTTGTAGCTGCAATGTAGATAAAAAAAGATATAATCCATTTTACTTATGAAAACAATGTTCATAATATAAGTACCATGCACGTGATGAAACGTGCTACTAGTGTTCAGTAAGTAGCAGTGCTTATTTGACAATTATATGCAATACCTTGAACCGTGATCCAATGGAAGAAAACTTAGATGATTTTGATGATTCTTCATGTAGAGGAGGGAACAAACCCACCACAAAGGAGCAACCAGACGCAGTCAGTAGAGCTTGATGTTCGGCCACTATATAATCCTTGTTCTTGTCGAGAAACTGGTTAGCTTGATAAGTAACCTTCCAATAGTGGGGAACACATTAGGCACGTAATGTCGTAAATTCGATGTGACTGAAAGAAAGACTGCAAACCATAAAGAAGCAAATACAATACCTCTCCTGCATAATGTGATATGGTAAATTCAGTGCGAGAAAGCTTTGGTTTGACAAATCTCTTGTGATCTTTGAATGTCTGGAACAACTTTTGGGCAAATGTTTCATGTGTCGACTTAGGAAACATGCTGTGTTGAACCAAAATAGAAATAAATAATGAGTCGGTAGTACTAACTCAGTCCTTGAAATGAGCAAAAGCCTGTGAAAATAAACATGGGAATGAAATAGAAATACCATACCAGGCTTCATCTAGAACTGCAATTATCCCTCCTGGTTTCTGATATGGACATATAATTACAACAGAAGAAAAGAGAAATTTTATCATAATCGTGAACTGAACAAGATCTCTAACCCTAACTACTCATACGGTTCACACAAGAATGATTTGCCATTTAGAAGCATATTCAGTTTTCTTGGGACTTGAGATAGTTCGCTAACGGACCTTTTCAATTAAATCAAGAACATCTTGGTTATCGATAAACTCGATGTAGCTCCAATCAATCTCTTCTTTGGTATATTCTTCCTGCTCCATCTTGAAAACATGCTGCAAAAACGTATGATACCAAGATAAAAGCTGCACAATTTTACAAATGGAGATCTATGATACAAACTGGACTTGCAGCTTAGGGTGACAGAAAATTGACTGACCTGGTTAAAATGCTGTTGCAGTTTTTCATTCGTGAAATTGATGCAGAATTGCTCAAAACTGCACCAGAAGAGATACAAGAGATCAAACTGTACGATCTGTAGCCACAATAAATCATGAACCTTAAGACAGTTCACCTTCATACAAAACAAGGCATCCGTTTCACTAAAGATATCAAAATATTTTGTAAAAATGCACTTCCATACTCCCGAAAATGAAATAAAGAAAAAGAGAAGCAATGAACATGGATTCTGTATGGTACGGACAGTGCTACCTATTGCATTTGAAACTTTCAAAACCATAGATATCAAGAACTCCTATAATGGACTTGGAGCTAGGGTCTTGTCCAATGGAGGTATTAATCTTGTCCACAATCCTGTTAAAAATTTCATAAAATGCATTAGCGAAAAGATATCCATGCTTCAATAACTCGAATAGAGAGTAGAAGAAAACATTTGAATGAATAGCTCCACCAGTCAAACAAGCGAGAATATATAGTCTTGGCAAGGGCATCCCTACTCCCAATTGCATTGTCAGGATCGAGAGTTCTTGTGATAATCTCTTCTGGAGTAACCATTACACGCTTAATGAGAGCATCTTCAAGGCTCTGTGAATCACACCTGTCCAAATAAGGACACACACGATAATAAAGAAACTTTGGCAACCAATAATCCTCAAAACCAGAAATGGTAATACAGTTTCACATTGATATATGAACATACATAAGTAGATCTGCTGCCAAGTTAAGATGAAATCGGGACTTCTCATCCTTGATGACCGAGGAATCTATCTCCTTGCCTTTAGCGAAATTGATGTTTCCTAGATGAAGAATTGCAGCAACCACCCTGAAGATTGCCTCCTGAACACACGATTAGACGTCAGAATCTAACATAAAAGTAGTGGCAAGGAATCCCGAACTGCTCGTTTAAGACAATAATGGAAGACCTGTTCTTCATCACCAATTCCAACTATATCCATAGCTCTCCTGGTTGCCAGATATTCATGAGCATCATCAACACCATCCAGTTTATAGCAATTTGACTGATTCAAATAATGAAATGATTGTGGATTCCCCAGCTTGTACTTCTCTATGTCCTGGAAACATGTCAAGAGAAAATGCCAACAGAAATGAAATGGTAAAGAATTATGAGGTGAAAATGCAGAGGACGTGTGCCAGCCAACAAGCAAAATGTTTCTGAGTTACCTCTGGTGGGGCAGCACAGAGAAGGTAAAAGCAATGGTAATTCCTTTCAGGATCTGAGATTTGGCAAACACGAGACCTTTCGAGCAGGTAAGTCCTAATAGCTGCCCCAGATATCCTTCCATTCTTGTCAAATTGGATTTCCACAAATTTACCGAAACGACTGCCGTGCATTATCATGAAGAAGTAAAATGCCAATAAATTCCTTAGTATCTCAGGCTCCAAGACAAATCGTTCCAGAAACATATAAGGAAGATTAAAATTGCTAAATGAGCAATTATTAATAAATCTCAAGTTAAGTAACTAATGACTTCAACTGAAATAAATAAGAACCAGAAGGTGGTTAAATGCACCTTGAGTTGTTGTTTCGGACGGTCTTGGCATTGCCAAATGCTTCGAGAACAGGGTTGGACTGCAGTTTTCAGTCACACGTTACATACGTAATAACTTGGGAATTCAGTCTTGGGTGGAAGAATATTTAGTTTACTCGTAAAAATGACACAAACCTCTAAGACTTGCTGTTCAACTGTCCTTCCTTCTACACCTGACCTCCCACCCAAGAAGGCAAGGTACCGCATGAGCATCTTCGTTGTCTCAGTTTTACCTGCACCACTTTCTCCGCTAACCAAAATGGAATTGCTCTTTCCTTCATTAATCATTGCCCTGTTATCACATTCCACGTTTGGTCAGAAAACCACTCGAGTAAAGAACAAACTTGGGGTAATAGAAAGCCAGGAGACAGTTTGCAAGACAGAACTAAACATACACAAACAAGATTGTGATGCAAAGAGCAGAACAGACCTGTATGCAGCATCAGCAACTGCAAAAACATGCGGACTTAGCTCTCCAAGAGCAACTCCTTTATATTGTTCCATCATATGAGTGTCATACAGATGAGGCAACCTTTGGAACGGATTAACCGCGATTAGGATTTGCCCTGTATACGTCTACACAGAGGCAACAAAATATTTATTAGCATCAATAGCTAACTTCAAATGACTTGCTTCGTAAAATTTACGCTCAGTTGCACCATCCAAGAGTAAGAGAGTAGAAAAAGGTAAAACCTTACATAGATTTCATTAAGTTCATATCTCGTCGCAAGGTTCTGTAAGACTCCGGGCTCATGCAAGTATGAAAGCTTTGTCATGTCATCTACACCTCCTGGTGGAGCTTCGGTATCTTCTGGGAACAGTTTTGATATATTTGTAACCACCTGAAGGCCAAAGGGCAGTCAGCCAACAGGACGCAGGAATTCATATCTTAAATCCTAGCATTCCAAGAACATATACTGAAACGTGACATATTATAATAGCACGCACAATTTATGATCTGCAAGTTAATATACAGAGAGAGCAATACATGTTTTTATGTGCTTAGGGGCTAAAAATAATGAAGACATCCATTTTCTACCAAGTTTGGATGTTTTCCTGACCCATCCGAAACTTTTACAAATATACTAAACTCTCAAAACAATCATCTTAGAGAGGCTTTCCTCAATATTCTGTTGGCTGAGATGAACATCACGCCTACTCCTCCTATGTCTACTTTTCTCATTTCTGTAGATTACCTTTTTATGGCATAAAATTCAATTCCCTTCAGCATGTAATAATTACAAAAGAAAAAACTTCCTTTCGGGGTTATCTTGTTTGATCCAAGTGCTACAACTACAAGAACCCATGTCACTTTAAACGCAGAAGCTAAGTAGATTACGTCCCTTCTATATCAGAAGTAAACATTTAGTATTTGTCTGCATATACATTCATGACCTTCATGGTTCGGACAATTTACTGGCATATGATAGTTACGTCAATGCTTGTCGATGCTTCACTTGTTGCCACGAACAGCTTTAGAGGATAAAAGAAAAGGTCACAAAAACACTTACGGTTTTGCCCTTCCTAGTATGTACATGAACATCGTGATTGTTGATCCGTATGACTTCCCCGTCCACCCACGCCAAATCAGGATCTTGAACCCACACATGTGAGCCCACGATTATGTTGTCTGGGGCAGCCTACAAGCACAGTACCGGATTCAATATGTTAACGTTGAATGTATCAGTGTTTTGCGGAACAGGGTTCAGCTGAAACCATTGTGATACATGAGCAAGGAGGGGATAGGCAGACAAAGCCCCAATAAACATTCACTAGATATCAAAATGATAGTTTATAAAAATGGAACCACTTTCAATAGCTTCCATTATGACTCGAAATATTAGGGGACACACAATTCTGTGAAGGGTAAAACGAGTAGGGACATTATCCAACTTGAGAAGAAGCACCAGATGCAAGTAAGCAGAAACAAACATAAAAGACCAAGGACAATACAACCACAATCAGCTTTCCATGTCACATTAATTGGCTGGGTTATTCTGCACATCGCCTCCAAGAATTACAGCTATGAGTGTTCATTACAATTTCAAAGACGAACAAACGTCAATACATCATTGCTTTGTAGATACAATGAGTTGCAGCAAGACTTGCAATGAGATTTTGAATTTGTCAGTAAAAATAAGAACTTGTTCCCCGAACCGAACTAGACATAGTCTAGCAAAATCGTAGAGAAGACAACAACAAACAGCCAAAGAGCAGAGAGATTCAACAAAAAAAAACACAAACTTTATCACAAGATAACCAAAAGACAGTTGAAACAAAAACAGCAAAAAAAAAAAAAGGAAGAGCAAGCTTGTGAATTACCATTTGCTACAAGAGAAACCCAAATCGGACCAAAACTCGAATCAATTCGGAGAAAAGATTGAGTCTTGAGCTCCGCAATCTCTGCAAGAGCCACAACCGGTTCCGACCCAGAAGCTACTTTCCCTCGAACCAAAGAGCTATCTTCTTCCCCAGTCTTGTCTCTTAACCTTCCCCCTATCTCTCAACCCAAAGACGCAACTGTCCCGTTAACTTCTTCGCTACAATACCCTTTCGATACCCTTTGTCTTGGAAATCGAAGCTTGCTTCAATTCCCTAATCTCTCTCTCTCCCCCCTCTGTATGTGTCTTTCTGTGCGTTTCGTTTGGTTTTCCTCTCTCGCTCGACATTTGGGTTTTGTCTTGTCTGATGAGGGATACCGCTTGTGGGTCCCCCAGTCCGTGTCTTAAAAATGGACGCCATCAATTTTGTGTACGTTATCAACCCCCCGACCAAAATTCAAAACTTAGAACCATTAACGTCTAAAAATATTTTGAGTTCGTCAATGGTATTTCACTACTATATATCGATCTGTTATTAGAATTTAAAATATACAAAATATAAATTTGACACTGAAATGTTTAAAAAATTGAAATATTAAATTACGTGAGAAAAGTAATATTACGATACAAAATGAAAATTTCCTATAAATAAAGAAATATATATTCAGTTTTTATATAGATAAAACAAATATTGAACGCCGTAGTCTGTTATAAACTACGAATAGCAAGAATAAACTATTTGATGAATGGGTGTATATTAGTGAAAAAGTCTTACGTTTTCATCACTCGTTCAAAAAAAATTAAAACGTTTTATTTTAATTGGATGTATAACTTCCACATTATATTATTATTATTATTATTATTATTTCGTTTTCTTGTACGCATGAATGAATGTGTGAGACTCTAAATCCAATCCATATAATATAAGATTGACTTGCTGAAAATATTTGACTATTTCTGTATAGATAAAACTAAATAAAAAATTAATTTGATGATCTCCCTCATTATTGTAAAATGTTCTAAATTTGTATGGCGATAATCCTTGAGATCAGTCACAAAATTTTCCAATCAACATATGAAATATGCTGTCTTTCACTTCTTAACGTTAAAAAAAAAAAAAAAAAAAGCGGGTCTCATATCAACAAGGCCTAACAACACTCTAATAAAAACTGTTTTAATTTTCTAATTGATTAGTGCAACTCTTCACAGCTAGATTAGTGGAATATCTGTTGACAAGTATATGAAAATGTATCAGCAGAACAACATAAAATAATATACATTTTTTTAAAATCATTTTTACCTATATCATAGGCACATTCGTATAATCTAATGTTGAAATGTACTAAGATCATGATGAAATCATGATCATACGTTGGAAATAAATAATTCTCATGTCACGTGGAAAGCAAAATGGTAATTAAATGGAGTAATAGTACTCTTTTTTTTTAATCAATTATTCGTGTGGAATAATGTTGCAGTTCTACTTCAAGGAAAAAAAGACCCAAGGAAAGCTGATATAATAATGATAAATATTATATCTTTTGTTTACATATAATAAATCTAATAAAAAATTTATTCGCGTTATACAGAGTTTCTTGGATGCTTGAATTTGGAATGTATTTTTTTTAAGGTTAATATTCATTTCTGATATTTCGAAGATAAAAATATGGTTTTGGCACTATTTTACAATTGAAATTCCGCATGTTTTACTGGGGGCATTATCAAAAATACCCTTAAAATGCTATTTCTACTTCAAGACCTACCCTGGTCACATGTGACCAATGTGACCGAAATATAGTATGGTCACATTTTGATTTTTATCGATTATAACGTTAAATTTATGGTGATCACACTAATTCATTATGTTTATACCTTGTATATCTTACTAATCATTTGATTAAAACATCATAAATTTAACGTTATGAACAATGAGATCAATATGTGACCACACTATATTTCGGTCATATTGGTCACATGGTCACAAGGGTAGGTGTTGAAGTAGAAGTAGCATTTTAAGGATATTTTTGATATAATGCCATTTTACTGCAGAAGCTCTCGCGGTGGAAAAACTGAAGTCTGAAGTGTTAATTTTATAATTTACCCATCACATTATCGAATAAATACACCATGAAAACACCTATAATTTATAAAATTGCTAAGTACATTATCTCAAGTGTTCATTCCAACGCATGAAAAAATAAATAAAATAAAAAACAACTTAAGTAAAAATAAAAGGCTGCGGAAAAAACTGAAAAAAAAAACAACAAAAAAAATCATCCAAACTTTAAAAAAATATAAAATATAGAAAATATTAGAGTGGGATTACATTATAGCCGCTTGGATTTCGGATTCGGGTTCATATTCGGGTTCGGGTCCCAAGTTGGATCTTCCGGTTCTCTGTTTCTCCTTCACAGAATTCATCTTCTCCAATTTCAAACCAGCTCTGAATCTCGCGATGAAGTTATCAGCCTTCGTGTCCACGTCGGGGCTTGGGCAGAACAGCCTCGCTGGAGACTCTCCGCCGATCATTTTCGCTGCCGTTTGAATCTCGCCGTCGTCCGATTGAACAGTATCCGGATCGTCGTGATCGTCCGATGACCCGCTCTTCAAGCTGATGTCGCTGGACATCCTGACGTAATCTCCCTGCTTCACAAACTTCCACACCGGTAATTTGAACGGCGGAGGCGGCGGAGGCGGGATCGGCAACAACGGAGACTTGTTTCCGGCCACTATGATCTCGTCTCTTCTGTTGAACGCGGTTACTTGATTTGGTTTAGATAAGCGTGATTCTAGTGCAGCTCTTTGAGTGTTGATTGCTGATGCGGGTGATTCCACGCGCCTCCGCAATGGTGGCGGAGGAGGTGGAGGAGGCGGAGACGGAGCTGGAGTTGAGTAGGTTCTCTTGCTTTTACCTTTCTTGGATGAGAAGATGCTTTGGAAGAAGGGTGGTGGAGGAGGCGGCGGAGGTGGAGGACGCGAAAAGGCATGAGTTGCCGCTAAATTTTAGAAGGATCCTTGGTTCGCTCTTTTGTCGCTGCTTCTTTTTCTTTCTTCTTAGCGCAATCAGAAAGTCTTTGGTTGCTCCACCTGACTTCTTCTTGCTCTTCTGATACACCATTACCGGTGGTGAAGGCGGTGCCAGAGGCGGTGGCTTGCGGATTTCCACCACCGGATCTGGCATCTCTGTCCTCTCTGTCTTCGGTGGAGGATCTTGGAAAACTCTCTTCGTCCTTCTCTTAACTGGTTTCGATGGTGGTGGAGACGGCGGAGCAGGAGGCGGATAATCCACCGGATACGACGGCTGTGGCGGCTGAATTGATTCCGGCAATTGCTCTTTGATTTCTTCAGCTACCTCTTCTACTTGGGCCGCATCAGCAACAACCTCGATCATAACCGCCGCCACCGTCGCTCTGACATCCTTCTCCAGCTGGTTTGGTCTCGTGCTTGCTCCGGTAGCTCGGATAGATCCGATCTGGACCGTCGAAACGGTAATCATACACACGCGTATCATCGTAGAATCTCCACCGTTCATCTTCATCAGATTCTCTCAACCTCAGATCTGGATACGAATTACTTCGCGACCTGGTGAACCTCTTGTACCCCGTCTGACCCGAAAACTGATCGCCGCCGCAATCATCATACCAATACCTCGGCGTCGCAGAGTTCGATCTCCGACCTCGATCGAACGACGACGAGCTCGAGTACTTGCAATAACCATAGTCATACGAGCTACGAACATCATTGCTGCTACTGCTGTGCTCCTTGCTCTGACTGCTTCCATCGTTACCGCTGCTGCGGCTGAGGAAGCCACAGACGACGGCGAAGAGAACAAGAATGAAGTTGAGATAGTCCCAGCTTTTGCGGACCAAATGTGGCCGGAAAATCTGAGAAACAGAGGAGACAAAAGGAGGGACGATGAAGAAGGCGACGAGGAGGACAACGGCGGCGAGGAAGAAGAACTGGGTGACGACGGCGGCGGCTCGGCGGCCGAGACTGGTGGTGCGGCGAAAGTAAGTATTGTTGCTACGGCGAGATTGGAGCCAAAACGGCGTCGACGGTTCGTGTTCTTCTTCTTCCATACTTTTTTTTTTTTTTTGCTTTAGGGTAAAAGGCTTTGATAGGAAAAAAAAAAGGTGGTTTTTGGGAATGGTACTTTTGGAGTGGTTGGTGTTTGATGCTTTGCTTTTGAGTTGTTTGGTTACTTGCTTGTGGAGTTGGGTTTTGGTCATGAGGCTTTTAATTTAAATAAACTGATGTAGGATCATGATTTTTGTAAAAAAAATGATATTTAAATTAATATTATAATTTGTATCAATTTGGACAAACACAAATCTTTGTTTGTCCACAAAATACTTCAACTATAAAAAAAAAATAAAATACTATCAGATTATTCATGAAACGGAGTATTGTCATTTATATAAATTGAATAATTTATTGTTGTGCATTTAATATTAAATAATGCGGATTATTTTATACTCCATACCATATATAGTTTATGAAATACGTGAAAAAATAGTTATGGAACATCTTTGAACAAGTACAATTTTATAAAATGGGTTTCCTTAAATAAAATTTAATAAATAAATAATGGTAATATGATGATTGTGATGCAATGTAAATATTTGGGATATTGTTTGGGGAATGAGAGTTTCATGACCAAGTTGGCAAACAGCTGTATTACATCGCATATGAAACAAAAAACTCTGACCGATTTACGTTAACGTTTGGGGTTTTGCAAACATTCGGTGGATTTTGTTTTTTTTTTTTTCCTTCAACACGTTTAGTGTTTAAGTTTTTAAGCTCCAAGTAATCTTTGCCTTCCAAGAATAAATTTCCATAATTTACGGAAACCAACAAAATTCATACACAAATAATATATAAATATATATCGTGTAATTAAGAGGAGAAATGACACGTGTTAATTATGGTTTATAATTTTGAATTAATTTAAGGTAAATTACATACAAATGAGGGTCAAAGGTCATGGTATCCGCGTAGAGTATTCGTACGTACCACGATTGATGAAAAAAAGACGTGTTATTACACATTGCAAACCTAATCATGATATTGGGCCATGCTATATATAATTATATTATATTATATATTATATTCAACATAATCTTTTTTCCTTAATTATCTGATAAAGATATGTATACAATGTATCTGAACAAAATTCAATTTTTTACCTCTAACAATACAGTAACCTTTCATTAGAACTTAATAGTATCAGAGTATAACCTATATTTTGAGTTATGTAACGATTAGGATTCGTTCGTCGTTGATAAAAAAAATATATATATAATCACTTTATTTAATGTCATCTGCATACATATATCGTACGTATACATGTGAACGTGAATGTACTAGCAAAATGTATTCCAAATATCTGCAAAAGCGATTTTTTCATACAAAGGGTAAATAACTGTGTGTTTGTATATCAACAGAGTGGTTGACCTACTATGAAATTTCATTAACGTGACCATATAATATATACATGCTGATGCGTCATCATTCAAAACAAAATAAAATATGTTTTCATATATAATGTAAAAAAAATATAAATGGGGAGTCCCCAGCCTAGTGGTTAATGACACCCCCTCTTCCATGAATTTGTGGGTTCGAAGCTGATCAGCTTTACGAGGCTGGTTTACCTGTTCTGCGTGGTTTGCCGGCTACTGCATAGGGTGGTGGGTTTTCTCAGGTCCGCGATGCTATTCTGATGTCGACTGAGAGGCGTTGCGGTGTCCGGTGTCCGATCCAAAGGGTTGTAGGATAGGGTTTCATAGTAAAAAAAAATATTTTTTTGTTAGGTTATATATATTTCATTTTAATATGATGACAGAATTGGGGCGCGTGTGTGGTGATTGATTGTTGCATTATCTATGGAGGTGACCTCCGGTATTCCTGGAATCGCGGTGGAAAACTGCGGGTTCAAATTATATTTTTTGTTAGGTTATATTTCATTTTATTTTATAAAAATATATTTATTCAGCTTTAAAAAAAAAGATCAGATATACTAAAAAAAACTCTCCATGCCAAGAAAAAGCAGAAGAGGTGTTAAGGTGTCATGACCGTACGATTACCATTACAATTCCATTAGCCAAACCAAACCCCCCAAACAGTACGTACAATACAACCCCTTCTATTCCTTTCTTGACACCCACGCAACCAAAGCCCATAGGAAAACGAAATGGACCTTCTTACGCATCTTTACCATTTATTTATTTCCCCCCACATCCTAACAGTATTGGGTAAAAATATATTATAACTGCTTGAAATTAGAAACGTGGAAAAGAAAACGAAAGAGGAGAGAAATTACTGCAGAGGGTTTTTTTTCCCCTTCTTTTCAGGACTTGTTCTTGAACTTCCTCTGAGTCTTCAAGTCGACCACAATGACTGAGATGTTGTCTTTGCTCCCCTTCTGAAGGGCGAGCATGGAGAGGTACTCCGCCGCTGCCTGAGCCGCGGGGTCCGCCCCTTTGCCCCTCTCTGCTAAGGGCGGGGGCCCGTGCTTCTTGTGCCACAGCAGAATCCGTCTCCTCGCCACCTCGCAGGCTTCTTGGTTAGTCATCACGTCCCATAGCCCGTCGCTAGCCAGTACGAGGCACTCGTCTTCTCTCGCCCGGGGTATGAACATCACCTCGGGTTCCGGGATTATCCATGGCTTCAGATAACTGTCCCCTGCGAAAGAAGATGTTCTTCGTCTCAGGACCAGAAAACTCTTCGGACACAGGATCAAGATCAGGGCAAGGAACACAATCCCATGTATATGGACACTTCATATTTATGGTGATGTAAAGGGATACTTACCAATGGATCTTGACATGGCTAGAACACCGAAAACACGTGCACCATTCCACTGTATAACCTTCCCCCCGGATGCTTCTATCCTTGCGTACTCGTCTTCTCTATCGGGCTATAACCAGAAAACGAGAGCTCAAGAGGGTGAATAAAGATCGATCTCTGTATATAAACGAGGCCTCATGAGTTCCACAAAATCCCGTGGAAAAACCCTGATCATTCAGAGGAAAAGAATGGCTTACTTTGTGATCAACAGATAAAGCCATGGATTCTTTGCCTCGGTATAAAACTGCTCTTGAATCACCACAGTTGGAAACTATGATATGAGAAGAACAAACCAAAGCAACCACTGCAGTTGAACCAACGGTCTCGGGAGCAACGGCCTCGAGAACATCAGAATTATCAGAACTTGGCCGGCTTATCTGTCCTGAAATCTCATCATCGACGGTTAGAAAGCATCTGGTAAAGACCTTTTCCCACTGAACCTGCCTATTCCCGACCTTATTCACATCGACTAACTCATCTTTGCTGCGTTTGATCTCTTCGGCTAAAGCATAATGGATTCGGTCACGACAATAGTCAGCAACCTGCAAGGGTCTCTTTCCCGGTAAGCCACTATATATAATACAAAAGGCTGGGGTCAAAGACAAAACATCATTCAGCACGTGCTTCGGATTTTTCATTTTACCAACAAAAGAAACGGAGAAAAAACACTTGACCCTAGAGCAGTCAAAGAACTCATGGAATACAACATTACCTGAGAGCCCCCATGGCCATCATAAACGCCGAAAAAATGCCCGGTAAGATGTGTGAGACTTGGAACAATCCCGTCAATAACATGATCCCCGATAAGCATTTTGATGGGAATTTTCAGAAAATGAGGAAGAGCAGCAATGGCATCCTCCATTTCAGGCCTATTCCCACAAATTGAAACAGTGCCCCATAGTGGTATGCAATCTAGTTCAAACACACTCCTCCCTGCTTTTGTGAGATGGCTCTTTTCTTCGGGCAACCGAATGACAACCTCTGAAGCTTTCAAACTAGACCCATCTGGAGTCTTCACATTCGGATTCACACTCGTGATAAAGACTTCTGCTGCAGGAACCTGCTCTATGCTCGTCTCCGCTAGTATAATTGCCTTTGCAATAACCCGCCCATTTTCTATCTCCACTGTATCTGGCAAGCTTATCTCCGACCCAGCATCCACAACTAATAACCCCTCGCTGATGACTGTGCCACTATCCTCCACAACTGATAAAACCTCATCTTCCTCCGTTTCTTGAACAGTTGCTCCAAAGACATTTGCAGCAGGCTTGATTCTGTGTTTGGTTAAAGTTTCATGGGAATCAGGTCCTCCCCCTCCTCCTCGGCATTTCTCCTCTGACTCTGAAACATCTTCCATTATACAGTCTGTCTCATCATTGAAACTTTGATTAGCCGAACCAGATAACATGCCAGCTGCATCGGTAACGAGCTTTAGCCGAGTGATTTCCATCGGTGATGAGACTCCCGAATTATCGCACATGGAATTTGCCAAGCTCAAAGTCATGGCAACTGCTGGAGACATCTCTTCCATCAGCTTCTCAGAAATTCCGCAGCTACAATATAGTAACACTATCTTTTGCTCTGCTTTAACGCCTAATGGCTACAACTTCTCCAAGATGGCTTCAAACCATCCAATCATATTCATTTTCTTTTCCTTCCTCTAAACCATAGCATTAGGAAATCTCTCCGGCAACACCTCATCCATTTTTGAAACAAATCTCAACTCAGAGACCCAACGCCGGTTTTTTCAGGGGATAGCTCAAGCATAATTAACATGGATAAAGCACAGAGAGCAAATCAAGAACAAGTGCGTACCACAGATGAACAGATCTGGCGGAAACCAGCGGATCTATGCCTCGGATCCTCTGTATTTCGCAGGATTTAGTCACTATTTCGATTCCAAGCAAAACTTGATCTCGCCCTGAATTAGAAGGACCAGCTACAAATCCCTAAGCTCTAGCCGTAACCCCCTTGACTTTACCCTATCCAGAGACGACAAGACACTAAAAGATCAAAACTTTATCTAAACAAGAACAAAGGGTCATGTGAAATCGAGGAGAAAAAACTAAGAAACCAATTGAAAAGAAAAAAAGGAAGGAATTAGCACACTCGAATCACAAAAGAACCCTAAAAAGCCGAACCCTTTATTTTCCACTACATACCACAACATGGGTTTCACCTGGATCTAACAAAAAAAAAACCAGCTTCAGCTTTGCCCAGAAGTCAAAGGAAAACGAAATACCCTATCTCTGTATAGAAACCACACAAGTTCGAAGAACACAAAGAGATGGAAATCTTCATATCCAAATCCTCTGACTAGAGCTACTAAACACGATGACCATAAAAAAAAAAGCTGAAAAAAAAACACAAAAAGAGGATGAGATAGAGAAAGAAGGAAACTCACCAGTTGAATCTAAGATATTCGCATCTGAGAAAAATAAAAATTTATTAAACAAAGAACAGCGAAAGTAAAGAAGCCTCCTTTTCTTTCTCCTTAGATTTTCCGCTCCCAACGCTTTGGCTTTGCTTGGAGACTCTCTCTATCGCCGAGAGAGAGAGAGAGAGAGAGAGAGAGAGAGAGAGAGAGAGGAATAACGTGTGGAAATGCTTTTTCTCTCTGTTTTTTTTTAAATAATATTTATATTTAATTATAATTTTTGTGCATTTATTGCCAAAGGCTCTGTTGTTAAGCCACGTATGCGCGAGACTTACATCATGTGGGAACTTTGTCTTATTATTTTTTTCTTTTTTCTTTTATTAATTTTCTTAAAATGTCGCGTCGAGGGACACTTGTCGACCAACGATAAGCTTGTACTTTTACTACTTAAATATTTGTATCTCAACGCTAACAATATTATCCAGACTATATATTATATGGTGTCAACGAAAAATTATTTAAATACGTTTTTATGTTACATGGTAATATGAGAATCTATAATACGTGAAGCATAATTAACTGTTAAAATAATAAATAATTACACAAACAATTAAAATATTCTATAATTCAACTATTATCTGTAAGAATTTGAGTTTTTTTTCCTAAAGAGTGTTAAGAAAATTAAATGTTTTCCAAATCCAGAATTTAGGGTTTATAATGAATAGGTCTCACTTCAGATGCGCTGTAAATTCTATGACTAAATAAAATTTTAATGGGCATTTAAATTATTTTTGTGAATATATATATATATATATCGTTTAACATAATTTTAATATTAAAAATTCTTGTTAAAAAATTTTAATAAGATGTGATGCAGAACATGGGAACAACAAACTGAAAAAAAAAAGATATATAATTTATTATATTAAAGAAATAAGAATAAAAAGTCAAGACCTCGTCAATAATCCATGAACAAAACCCCTTGTTTATTTAATTTCAGAAATTAATGTAATCGTGAATAAACATATTCATCAATAATCATACAATTGCATTTTGCAATAATAATGCTATGATTTCTCGTTAATTTGTTACTGAGCATCCATTTTGATTAGGTCGAGCAGTAATATTTGTGATTAAGCAAATGAAACAAGGGCAAAAGTGTAATTATGAATAGTTTAAGATTTCGCATTGTAATTAACGACGTTGAAAACATTAAACCAAAAAAGATATCCAAACAATCAGGAGAAAATATAGTCAAGTAACATGTGTGATATTTATTTCAATTGTGTTTGATAGAATTTGTTTGTTTTTTTTTAAATATGGCAAATAGTTCATTCACACTTATATTTCTCTCTCTATACATACGGTTTTACTATTTGACTGCAATTTCATGTAAAAAAGAATTTTAAATATTATTTAAATTTCAATATTTTGTATATTTACATGAAACAATAAACTTCTAAAAAAATTATGTTCTATCAATAAACTACTAGAAATATAAACATGTGGTGAGTCAATTGGACTATAACTGTTTAAATATTTTTTTTAACAAAAAATATATTTTGAAAAAATTGTTATGGTCGTGAGAAATTGTTTTTTGTTCTTAGGTAGCTGAGCTATTTTGGAACATGCCAACAAGATAACAAAAAGAGATTATATGTATAACATTTTTTTTTATAAAAATATGTATAACATTTTTTCTAAACACCATATGGACCGACTTCTATATCTAAAAAAATTGTTAGAGAAATTTTGTATACAGACCATGAAAACAACTGCTCTTGATAATGATTTCACTATTATCATATTTGTGTCCTGATATTAGTTGGATATCGTATCGATTATATCCGAAATAAATTAATTATTTCTAAAATAACTGATAAAATTAAGAAAATTCCGTTTCATTAAATGGTGAATAGTAAATTCCGTTAATTATATTAAGAAATTCAATACCACAGGTTTTACTTAGATGGGTGTTACGGATCTTAATTTTAACATATCTTTTGACTCGATTTTTTTTTTTTATTTTAAAAAGTTATAACGACCCCTTTTTACACTAGATTCGGTTCTAATTCAATTTAATTTTTAAAAGTATTAACATCTGTTGATTCAAATAAGTATATATATATATATATATATATATATATTAATCAGATTCAATAATTGGGATCAATTCGGTTATATAGCCACATCTAGGTTTGAATTTGATTGACATTTCAGTCAAGAACAGCACCGTCACCGACAAATTCAATCCAACATTTGTATTCCAAATGCCAACTGTAATAAATTCTTCTAATCTTTCCATAATTATCCAAAATAACTTTTTATTAATACTAATAATAATAATTAAGTCCACAACTGAAATACAAAGCTTCTTCTCCAACCAATTAAATTTTCCTTTTCAGTTTCTCTGGTCAAAACACTGTTTGAGTTGTTGAAGAAAACGAAAAATCCCCAAAATTAGCAAAACAAATTTAACATATATATTTTTTTCTAAACTAATAATGTTAATCATAATAATTAAAAAAAAAAACAAAACAAACACTAACAGTTTTCTTTATATATTTATTTATCGCTCATTAGATTTCATTTGTTCTCAATTCCGTGTTTTCAAAGTTCTTGTCGGAAGTTCCAACTCAAAAACCAAAGGGAGATAAACACGAACAAGAGTGAAAAATAGTCGTTGCTTTAGCATCAAGTCATTACAAGGGAAAATTTTCTTTGTGTCGGTTTCTTGTGAAACAAGTAATAGACAGAGATTTAGGGTTTCGCGGGTCGGAGATGTCTCTGAGAACGATCAAAGCGATGGCGGACGTTGGCGGCGGTGGCGGAGCGATCACGGCAATAGCGATCGATAAGGACAAAAACAGCCAACATGCTCTGAAATGGGCTGTCGAAAATATTATCACCGATTCTCCTCATTGTATCCTTCTCCACGTTAAACAAAAGACCAGTATGCATCTCCATCATCATCATCATCATCATGGCTATACATCTAGAATGATGCCATTTTAAGATTTACTTGAACATAGATGCTTACCATCATCATCGTGACAACAATCGACATCAGCATTGTCATAAATCAGAATCATATGGTCCCAACACCATATCCATTAGCAAACCCCAATCTCAAAGCCCTAATCTAAATCTCTGCAGGAGAATCTACAGAAGATCGAGAAGACGACCAACAAGAAGCATACCATTTCTTCCTTCCCTTCAGAGGATTTTGTGCTCGGAAAGGGGTCAGTCATCATTTCACATTTCCTTCAGAACACATTCACTTTCTGCATCCCTTGTAGCCATTATTTTATATATGTGGATGTAATGATACATGGATACAAAGTTTTCAGATCATAGCAAAGGAGGTTCTTCTTCATGATCATGACGTCTCCGGTGCAATTGTCAAATACCTCGCCAACGACAACATCGCAAACATTGTCGTTGGCGCCTCTGCACATAATTCCTTGCTCAAGTCTCTTCCTTCTTTCCCCTCTTTCTCCAATTTCATTGTTTTTGTTTTTAGCCAAAAGCTTTGATCTGATCTCACATACACCTTTTTCATCTCATGATGCCATAGGAGGTTCAAGCAAGCAGATTTGGCGACAAATTTGGTCAAGAAGGCTCCAGAGACTTGTGCTGTCTTTGTTGTCTCAAAAGGGAGGCTTATCACAAGTAGATCTGCAAACCGTCCTCGGACACCTCGGTCTCCGCATACACCAAAGAAACGTGCTAACCAACTGAATCTCTCTGTAATACTATCTGATCCTGGGCCAGAGAGCTTGAATTCTGGTGAAACTGGCAGGTAACCTAAGCTTTTAACCTGATCTTGACTATGATTCCCTGGGCTAAAGGGTGGAAAGGGAGCATATGAGGGAGTTCCGAGTGAAAGTCTTTGCCTTTCTCATCATTCTTGGTTTACCTTGTGCAGGACATCAGCAGTCACAAGTGGAGAGATGATCCGATCTGCCCTAAACTACAGACCCAGACCGTATCTCTCCCAATCTGATTCGCCCAACAGCTCCCGAAGTGCGAATTCTCAGTGGGAGATGGGCAGTGACTTCTCTTCCTATTCCAACAGCATGGTGTCAATGGAGAATTCCTACAGCATTCTTGAAAACTCCACCACCAACGGCAGCTCTTTGACCTCGCTCTCATCCATGTCCATTGTGAGTATTATTACATCAAGCTGACAGGCAATTTCTTGGCCCTCGCGGTGCTTCCCGTCTGACCCTTGATCTGTTTTTGTAGTCTGAGGCGGGTGACGTGCAGGAAAATTTATCTTCAAACAATTTCCTGGAACAACAGGTAAACATTCAGAGACACAAAATCTGGTTTCGGGTATGCAGAATCTCAAGAACATGCTACTGAGTTTGTTTTGCTCTGTGCGTGGGTCTGCACAGAACCGAGTTCTTGAGACAGAGATGAGAAGATTGAGACATCAATTGCAGAAGTTGAATTCTACTCTTGGTAGAGAAGCAAGTGATGCAAAAGAAAACGTAAGATAATAAGTATGCTTACACGTTGATTGCAATATTGTTTCCCTGATTGTCTCCAGTTGTAACATCAGAAATTGCATTTTGCAGGCGATACATCTTCAAGAAGGCAGAGCAGACGAAAGACAATGGCTGGAAGAAGAAAAGCAAGCAGCAGATAGCCCTAGAGCATTGCCCGAGTTGGAGAAGCAGAAATCTCAGGCTGCAGTCCAAGTAGCTGAAATGGCACAGCGTCTTGCCGAGATGGAGATCCAGAAGAAAAAACTCATGGAGATGCAGATGAAGTTAGAGGAACGACAGAAGACATCAGCAGATTATAGACCCTTGGACAACAGGGTATCTTATCGACGATACAGTATCAAAGAGATTGAAGATGCAACAGAATGCTTTTCAGATGGTTTAAAGATCGGGGAAGGAGGTTACGGACCTGTTTATAAAGCCATCCTTGATCACACAGCTGTTGCCATAAAAATCTTGAAGTCAGATGTTTCACAAGGCCTGAGACAGTTCCATCAAGAGGTAATACATTTTGAAATCTCAAATGGCTCTTCCCCTCACTCATCTCTTCTTTTCTAACAATGTTTCATACGTTATGTGTAACTTTGACTAGATTGAAGTTTTGAGCTGCATGAGGCATCCTAACATGGTAATCCTCCTCGGTGCCTGCCCCGAGTATGGGTGCCTTGTTTATGAGTACATGGAAAATGGAACCCTCGAAGATCGCCTCTTCTGCAAAGACGATACTCCACCATTAACATGGAGAACACGGTTCAGAATCGCTGCTGAGATAGCCACAGGACTTCTTTTCCTTCACCAAGCAAAACCCGAGCCCCTGGTTCATCGTGATCTGAAGCCAGCAAACATTCTACTGGATGGACATTTTGTTAGCAAGATCAGTGATGTCGGTCTAGCTCGGCTGGTCCCTTCATCTGTGGCCGATAGCTACAGCCATTATCACATGACTGCTGCAGCTGGTACAAACCCATCACTCTAGTCTAGTCACAAATATTCATTACATTGAACCACTCATTGATGTTCATCTTCCTTTGGCTACTTTGCAACAGGTACATTTTGTTACATTGACCCAGAATACCAGCAAACGGGAATGCTTGGAGTGAAGTCAGACTTGTACTCATTTGGTGTGGTTCTCCTGCAAATCCTCACAGCAAGGCCACCTATAGGTTTAAGTCATAAAGTAGAGCAAGCGATCGAGAACAAGAGATTCAGAGAAATTCTGGATCCCAATATACAAGATTGGCCAATAAAAGAAACCTTGGCATTGGCTAGATTGGCTTTGCAATGTTGTGAGCTGAGGAAAAAGGACAGACCTGATCTCGCTTCAGGTCTGTTGCCACTGCTGGATAAGCTAAGGGATCTTGCATTGGAAGATCAGGAACCCGATTTGTACAGAACGCTATGTGTGCCACTGCCTCATGATTCAGTTCCACTTGCCAGGATTCCTTCATCACAGGTTAGTTTCTTAGAACCCTTTTCTTCTCAAGGGATATCAACTGCATATTGAACTTCAAACATTTACGCGCATTAGACCTGCAATATTGTAGATTTCTACTATTCATCTTGGAAAGGATACAAGTAGCAGTGATAATCTAAATCAAAACTAAGACATATACTTGCTAATTATGCACAATAAGCATTTGAACACATACCATATACTTCACAAGTCAATGAGCATAGCTGGATATGAAGCCTGACATCCTTAGATCATCGAGAAAACATGTGTGTAACCATAGAAACATATTATGAATGTGCTTTTTTTATTCTGCATAAACATGCACTTGATCACGTGGAGAAGGTTATAGACAGTTTGATTTATTCCTGAATAAGTGGGTAAAAGTGTTCCTCAAGACTTTCTCAGTCAAGAATGAATCCCTTTCCTGAGACACTCTTT